TTTCACCCTTATATACAATTATAACAACTCAAAAATATATATTGTTTTTTTCAATTTGTCAAATAATATTGTTAATTATAAATAATCACTTTATTTTTAAACTTTAAGTCTGCTAAAATTATAAATTAAAATTATTTATAAAAAATGCAATGTTTAATAAAAAATTATATTTTGTTGTCTAAAATTTATTTAGATTTAAATTCTAAGTGGAACCAGAAGTTTATAGTTTTACGAAGATGTTTTGTTTTTATTCAGAGATATGTGATGCCTTCAGAGTTAATTATTGGCTTGCTATTAATTAAAATAGTATTTATTTCATTTGATTTTTGAATGTTAATGTTAGTAATTTCCTAAATTAAATTCCATGCTAATTTAGGATTAGACGCTACTATGGAAAATTTCTTATTATAATGATTATGTTTAACCGTCCGTTCTGTAGTATTATTTGTTTTTAAAATATGTTTATCTTAAAATCTAATGGAAATTATAATTATTACCGCTTTTCATAAAAAAAAAGTATTAACTTCATATAAAATGAATTTAAATTTAAATCGATTTATTGATAGCAAATAGCAATGGTTTATCGTTTTGCTTACAGAAACAAATTTTAAACTATATGTACCCTACCTTCTCAACTTTCTACGCATAACATTGTTGTATTCATCATAAGTATAAGGTTTTTTACAATGAGTTTTAATTGAAACGGCCACTCTTGTAGGTATGAAGTTGGAAAGGTAGGATATTTAAGGTTCTTTCATTTTTACCTGTAAACAACGATATACTATTGCTTGACGAAAGACGATCCCGAGCGCAGTTCTGTAATACATATTTTGAAGTGCCATTTTTTTTTTTTTTGCAATTTTCGTTTTAATTTGATTTTAAAACGATAATTAAAAAGTAGTATGATCATTTTGGAAATTTTGCCATGTCTAAGTAAGTCCAACATAAGTATTAACCGGGTTTTAAGTCTCTATGTGTATTTATAACCGAATAACAGCAAAAAATTTCCAAAAATTGAATTTCCTTAAAAGCTCAAAGAAAATTTGGCGATGATACTGTAAATAAATTTAAAAGGCAACAAAAAAGTTACCTTGTGATTATTTAATTAATTTTTTTCTGGCAGAAAAGGTCGTCCGTGTTTTTATAAAATAATGAGATTGTGACTTGTACGTTTTCCTACGTTTTTTCCCACTTAAGTGCTTTTATTTAAAAAATAGCGTCGAAAATAAAAAATGACCTCATTAAAGGACAATCTAAACAACTTTAGCTTTCAGAAGAAGGTACTGCTCTTATAGATCAGACCAAGTTTACTAGGAAAAAACGTATCCACATTCTAGAACAAAGAAAAGGAAGTAAAATAAATAAACAGCATTGTAAAACAAATAGCTTTCTCGCTACGCTCGGAATCTAATAAAATATTACTTGTTTTTTTACCTCGTTTATTAGGTTCTTCTGTCCGATAGTCTTGTCATGTACATGGGAAACAACAAATTATTATTCAAATACTAAACCATTTTTTTTTTTTTTTTTTTAAACAATGCTAATAACACATTATAAAAGAAAAAAATAATGAAAAAAGTAAATAAAAGGTTCACAAACATTACAAAGACTGAGTGTGTAGTAACGAGGGGGGGGGACGAGTCCTGTGGTTTTTACTTTACCTTCTCATAAGATTTAAAATCCATATAGACTAAAAAAGAGCACAGGAAGTAAAAACGGAAAATTTGATTCTTTGATTATTGTATTGACATCATACATACGAGTACGTGGACAATTTAAAATTGTACAAACTACAGAAAGTGGTTTAACAGAGTTTGATGATTTTCCTCTACGAAATTTTTATTTTTGTTCTGAATTTTTCGGAACTTTCTCGTAAATTTGTAAACTCTTTGTTGTTTAAAAACTAATCCTTGAATTGTGTTCGTGTTATATTTTTATTTTTGGACATAATAGAATTTTTCAAATATGTAATTTTTTGGGTAGGAGGAAATAGTGAAACACTATTCAACATTTGTGAGTTCTGCCATTACATTTTTGATAAAACTATTTATTTATAATATTACATACCGAGTTTCCTTTTCAGGTTTCTGTTCTCTGGAATATCGCCTATTGCTAGAATTTCGTAAATCAGTTACCGAATAAAATATTATCAATATAAAAATTTCAGTTAACAAAATTTATTAAATTTTCCCAGTTATTTTTTTAAATTTATTTCCCTAGAGTACAAAAGATGAAATATTTACCTGCAAAAGAATTTTTGATTACGATTAAGACTATAATTATAGCCATTGAGGGTACGAATTCATATTTAGTGATTATCATGTTAAGTATTATTTCTGATTTTTATGCAGATGGTCCGCACCAATGAACTGCTGAAAAAATAATATCATTTTTGCTGTGGTATGTATAAGCGCTAGGTATAAGCTGGGTATAGCCAGGTAATGTATACGTTGCCATTACAATAGTCTGTGCTTACCAGCTTTGTCGGGTTTCAAAACAACCGTCTGAGCAAATAGTTCCCAAGCAAAACCAAACAACATATTATTTTTATCAGGAGCATAAGTATAAATTATTTATATAAGACTGAGTGTTTAACTTAAAATTATTTGTTCAAAATTAAATTGAACAGAAGGTTCCATAAATTTTGAACTTAGAGGTCAAAAATGTAGTATGTAGGATTGTAGGTAGTATATATGTTTATGTAGGTATATTTTTTTTTTTTTTTTTTTATAAAGGAATTTTAATACCGAATTTTGACAAAAATCGTTTGAGTAAAAGATTGTGTAAATCAAATCTAGCTACTGGTCCATTAAAATTTTTTTTCGTTTTGATCATATGTATATTTATTATCGGTTTAGGAACGATGGTGAAGTCAGAATTGAGCGGACTGGCTTAGTTTCGAAATCATAGCTTTTTGAAGTTCTAATATTATGTGGATGTTATATGTGTTATATTAAATAACTCAATATTGACGAATTCATAATATGTATGTGTTATATACTGTTACATGTTTCATATTCGTGACGGGATTTGTAGGTTATCTTACTTTGCTCTCGTTATCAATTTATATTAAACACTACTATATAACGCGTGGACATGATTCATTGTCCATCGTGCTTCGTTATGTCTCACCTCTATAGTATATATTTAATGCTTGCAGGCTTAAAATACATTTATGGCACTTTGTATACGTTGTTTATTTATTAAACTAATATATTACTTGAAATATACTACAGTATGTCGCAGTCTAGTGTTGATATGTACCTGATGATAACCCATGGATCGAAAGTTCAAACCCAAGTTATGTAAACATTTTTTTCAAAAACACATCGGATAGGTAATAGGAAAAAACAAATGAATTTTGTATCAAAGTATTTTCTTAAATGGTAGAAACGTAAATTGTACGTGTTGTTGGCTGATCGGGAACACGTTTTTCGGTATATTTCTCTAAAAACTCTTGAACGACGGATGGTTTAGTTTCCATAGAGGTATATCAGACACAACCATAGCTTGGCATAAATCAAAAGCAAACGATGGTTGTTTATTTTGATTTTCAAATGTATTTTTAATAAATATTTGTTTCGATTTCTTTACTAAACTATTATGTTTTTTGTGTTTAATTGTATTTAAATGCTAAAGTACTTGAAATCGTTTCGTAACAGTTACCGGCTGATCACAAATTATACAATACAGTACTTTACCGTCGATTTTAAAAACATCGCTAGAAAATTCTACAACAAATTGTCGTAATTTGGTACTTTCATTTTTGACTTTTGGCATTTTTAAAATAAAAATCACAATGATTTTACTAAAATCACATTGAAAAATAGTCTAATGAACGGTGATGCGTGGACAACTGAACGGTCTGTACTGCGTAGGATTGTGTGTAATACACTAATAACCGACAAATTATATCTTATTTTGGATTTTACATTGACCTACATACCTTTATCAATTGTGTTTATCTTTCCCCGTTAAACTATTCAATTTTTTATCGCATACCGATTGTACCATAATATTGTATTTTTAAAAACATGCATTTATCGCATTCCTATAATGGAAATATGCAATAATATTTATTTTATCCAAAATATGCAAAAACATGCAAAATAAAAACACTATTATTTATCTCACTATGAAGTGATTCGTGAAAATTACTGACGAAATCAATAATCAGAAGTCGCAAAAAACCATGCTAACAATAACAATTGCCTTTTTTTCTATGAAAACACTTGTACCAGTGCAGTAATCGCAAAAAGAATATTGATTTTTTTTTTTTGTTGCAGTGTAGAATACATGGTAAAATTATTTCGAGTTTATCGTTACCCAGTTATGTACATATTTTAATGTATCTATACGTTCTAACTGCATAGTTTGTACTTACCAGCTTTGCCACTTGCCGGGCCGCGAAACAATTGTTTGAGCAAATAGAACCCCGAGTAAACTCCACATTATTTCGGTAAACATTCGTTGTGGTTTACCGTTGTAGTTAAGTGTTTGGTGTTTTGAATGCGACGAAACTGAAAAGAACCCACGACACTTCTACCCACAATATGTCAACAAGGCCATAAGACAACAGAGTCATAAACGTTATTCGATTTGACGAAAGAACGTCTTTTAAACGGAATTCGTATTAACTGTGTAATAATAATACCTATAATAGTTATTAGTGGCGCAAACTGGAAGGTGATTTGAGATTTGTTTTTCGAATTTTATATAATAATTTGTATAGTGTATAATTTTAATCGTAATATTTCAGACGTTTCCGTGTAAATTTGAATACATGCACCTATTCCGTGATCTTCAACTATTTAATAATTTATCTTTCCAAACACAAGTCAAGATTTCTGTTATCCGGACTATTTTTTTTTTTTTTTTGATAGGACAAAACAAAATCATGTATTACAAGACTACAAAATATAATAACCCGGAAGGATAAAATTAAAAATGTACAAAAATAATAGTGAAAGAGGTCAACATTTTGTCTGAAAACAAGATCTTGGGAACGTTGACGTGATTGAGATGTAACACCTATTTACTATGTCACCCTCTATTTTAGAATTGGTTCCGGTTGTCATTACACAATTACTACATAATTTGTTTTATACGGTAAATGACCCCGAAACCACAGTCTTTAAGATGAAATTGAGGCTTTCGTGTGGCATGTGAGTTACATTGTTGAAGCTACTACGAATCTTCGGAACTTGCGCATTATATATTATACTTCGTACGGAAACTCGTAACAATATAAGTGAGAACGCACCTCTGCCAAGAAACTATCATAGCCTAACGGTAGCGTTATCGCTGTGTACGCGATGGTTTGTTACTAGAGTGCGCCCCCCATTACGAAGAAATAACGATAAAAATACTACGGTTGAAATATTATTTTGCTCTGAGGAGGTATTGTCTGGCGCGTACTGGATCGCCGGGGTACTGGGAATTTCCCGGTGAGCTCTTTTCATGTACACCCTTGATTTATACACGTTTTCTTATTCCTATGTCTTTAAATTGGCCATTGTAGCTTTGTGATTTCTAAGGTAGATAAGTAGATAGGTATTCAAAGAATGTTTATGATTTATGTTTATAAGTGGGCCCTATTTAATAATTTTCCTGCTTATTGTAATAAGTAAAATAATTAATATGATATTCAGTAAGTAATTCGAACGGCAAATATCCGAACAACATAATTTGTTATTAATATAACGTGTAGGTACTATTATACATGTATACTCTTTTTATATGACTTTTACAGTATTAGATTAACTTAAAATAAAAAATCACAGTGTTCTGAATGAGCAAAAAAATTATTGCTGATTTCGAAGCTATAAAAGTTTAAAGTATACGTCATACATACACAATTAACAATTACAATCGCATCTGCAGGGTTTGTCAATTGGACGTGAGCCATATTATTATTATTTCGTCTCAGGAAGTGCAATTTAAATTGCATTTCACAACCTGATATAACTTAATCGAATGCATAGTGCACGTCGTGTAAAACGATGGATTTATAGTGGGTGTGGCTTGAATTCCCCCATACATAGAACAATATTTTAATCGTGTCACTAGTTCTGGTCATTCTCCGCCTTTCAAAAACGTTTTGTAGCCCGTGTTGGTATCTGACTATACCGTCTAAATTAATATTTATTCAAGTGATGTGTAACGTTTTTGATCACTAGTATTACCTTTATATTCGAATAATATGTTTGAAACATAATATCGTTTGAGTACGACGATTTTATGAAATTTCATGGACTTTCGTTTCGAAAATAATTTCTGCAGATATTATGTAATCGGTCAACCAGCAAGTAATAAATTAAAATATATTTTGTTACCTACTCAAAAGTTATTCAATTTTCAATTGATTTTGATCAACTTTTGATTAATATTGTTTTTAGTATTAATGTTATTATTTTCTACTATTCAAAAGGCTTTTCGATTGATTTGAGAATCGATCTATTTTAAAAATGTTTTAATACAATTGCAATTATTTCATTTTAGTATGTTTAATAGTTCACAATATTATTCGTCATTGTACTTCGTATTACTGTTATAAAATATTATTTTGATTAGTAAAACATATTTTGTTTTGTTTTTTTTTTTTTTTACGAGTAAACATAATAAGATAATAATAACAAACATTTCATCCAATTAATATACATTAGGAAAATAAATCAGATAATAATATTAAACCAGAAGTCTGGGACGAGTTTAATTGCACTTTGTTCTTCGTAAACTATAACGTGTCCTACGTCATTAAAATAATTTTAATTTGTATAATTTCTATTATTTTTTTCTATACGCAATATTAAATATTTGTATGATAGCTGTAGTATAAGTAGGTAATTAATATTTATATATATAATCGTATTTTAACGTAGTATCCTATTAATCCAGTCAACTTCAAATAATTATTTATATTAATTATTCGATCAATTAGGACGCTTACAATATATTTTTGAATTTAAATTTATCAACGATATTTTTAACGAAATTCCACTCAGAATTGTTTTTCGTTTGCAATGGTTTTTCGTTGCTTACAGTAGATATCTAAACTAAATTAACCTATGTTTCTTGCCTTCTCACTTATTTACAACAGTGGCCTAACTTACTTACCCCAAAGTAGTAGCAACAAAGTTTTCTTTAATTTTCATTTAAGTAAAAACTATGTACCTACTTATACATTTTAATATTATTATTATTAATAAAGCGTCTAGGTATAATCTTATATATTATATTATTATATATTTCAAAAAACATGTTATGCTATTCAAATCACCAATATAGTAGTATGATGATAAATATATAATAACCACGGTATACAATAACTCGGGCCTGATAACAGTTATAATAACTAATGAGTCATTAGATATTATATTGATTTATTAGTCATTAGCAATGACTAATAATCTGTTACAACTCAATAACACAACTGTGAAATTGTAAATAAATACAATTTTAACGTGATACTGATATTATGTGTGACACAATATTTATGTTATTGCATGATATTTGTTTTTAAACCCTCTAAATATCGCATTATTTAATTTCTCCGAAATATAATACGATAATATGTACAATCAACCTAACACAAAATATTTTAGCCGCATGTACTTGAATAGAAATACGATTTTTTAGGAAAATCAGAGGCACAAAATAATATAATATGTTAAGCTTATTTTCAAAATGTTAACTCGTTGCAGTGCAAACATGTATTTACAATAAAACTTCCATATTCGAATAGTATATTTCTCTCAAGCAACTTTAAATTTTACAATTTATTTCCATCTTAAAAATTATCTGAGATACAGCCGTTAAAAGTTAGAAATTTATGATGTTTCCAAAAATGTACAAAATTAAAATGCTGTTAGTTATTATGATCTTTATTTATTACTATAGTTCGGATGTTTATAAAATTGCATACTTTTTTCCGTTTATCTAATTCAATGTTGATCTAGATACAAATTTGATTCATATTTTATTAAAACAAATAATACTATTTTAATTTTGCATATTTTATGATATTGTATTTTAAATGCATATTATAGGATTTTAAGAAAATAAATGCATATTTTAGTAAATTTTTGAACTTTTTAAAAATAATTTAAATTAATAACGATATATAAAGCAAAAATCCATAGAATTTGAACAAATTAAAAAAAACCATTGTATCATACTAAAACGTTTTTATTGTAAATAAATATATGTAATGTTAAAAAATACATAAAAAAAAAATACTTAAGGTAAATTAAAATTGTTTTCTTTGTTTTTTTAAACTAAAAATGCATATTTTATGATTTTTAGTGCAAATTTGGTTGTTTTTTTATGCATAAATGCATATATATTACAGTTATTTTAAGCGCATAAACATCCGAATACTAGTCATAAATAGTAATATATTCTAATCCTTATTAAGATACGTTTTACGTTCGAATTAAAAATTGAAAAAAAAGTTTAATTCACCTATAGAAAAAAATGTTTCAGTAATCATCTTATCTTATCCTGTTCATTATTTATACAATAAAAGACATTTCTTTGTAGTTTGTAAGTTAGAAAAACTATTGAGGACAAGGTACTTATCCAATGTTGATAAAATTATTTCGTTATATTTCATACTATTTCGGGAATGTTATAATAGAATACATTTTTAGATTCGGAGCTTAGTGAGAGATTTATTGGTTTTAATAAGATGTGTATTTTTTTTTTTCTAGATGTGATCAACTTTTCTACCAGAAAACTTGCTCCGAAATATACACACTTTTTCTGAAAGGTAATTTTCTGTCGAAGACGCATTGTGGGGGGTGATTTAGATTTTCTAAGGGGTTTTTGAAATAATTGGGAAAAACCTAAATGAAAACTATAGATAAAAGGGCAAATATTTACGACCCGCCACGGCGTTAACGTTATTATAATTATTATTATGTTTGCACGATGTTTTCTACCAGAAATATTGCTCCAATTCAATAATGACAATCGATTTATTTTGTTCCTTTTAATATTTTACCACTGCTGGAATAAGTCGTTTTTCAATATCTAAAATTGTCTTCTCATAAATAATTGGAAAAAATCAAATAAATTTAATTTAAAATTGATTACTATTTACGGTAACCTAGCGTCCCGAATTTATTGTTTTACATTTTTACGACATAAGTTTTCTACGAAAAATATTGCTCCGATAGAAAATCGACAGGAGATATTTTTTGTTGAATTTTTAATCTAGTTGCTAACCAAGAAAGTCGGTTTAGGATTTTTTTGTTTTTTGTGGTTTTTTAATAATTGAGTACAGTCGAAAAATACGTAGAGAAGGAGGAGAAATTTACGAAAATAATGCTTTTATTATTTACAATTATGATTTTATATTGTTATTCAGTAAAATATATTTATAAAGATTCAAAATTTTCATACGAGTTATATAAATGCATTATCTAGAGGTGGGAAAGTTTTCAAAACTTTTGAGCTATTTATAGACATTTTAATTTTGCAAATTTTTTATGTGATTTTAGTAACTACTCTGTTGATGAAATTGTGAGACTAAACTTAAATGCTTGAAAATTCAAATATAATTCGTACCAATTTAATTGTCAAAAAAAAAGTAATGTGGTATTTTTTTTTTTTTTCATTAGTTTTAAAATCGAATTTCGACTAAATTAGACTAATTTAGACCTTCTCAACTACCTACCTACAACAGTTGCCACACCCGTCCCTAGTATAAGCTCTCTTTTTATGAATAGGTATTAATTAAGTTGTTCTATAGATATTTTCTAATAAAATAATAATATATTAATTTAAAGTATGTAAGAACTTTGAAATTAATATTAGGTACGCTTTAGACGAGTATTTAATAAGTTGCACAGTTTTCTAAAACAAATTATTTTATGCATAATTATCATTAAATATATCATTAATATTTATGTGTGCATTTTTAAAACTATTATGTATAAAGTTATATACAAAATTATCAACAATATCTAAAAATTGTATAGATAATTTTTTTTCAGTCGTACGAGCCACCGGGTTGAATATTTTACTGACTAACTAAAAATACATTCAAGTTATGAAATTTATTGGAGTACTCCGGTAGATCTTTTTCTTGCATCATATTTCGAGAAAATTTTAAATGACTAAAGTCAAACTTCAACAGTATACATACCATCAATTATTAACTATGTAAGTAGAAATACGTTGTAGATTATTTTTACATTTTTAAAACTATTGTATAATATTACAATGCTATCATAGATAAAAACTCGTTTCATCTATATATGCTTTATATATTTAGAATAAATAAATAAGAATATACATATATATATTTTTAGGTTAATAACCGCTTAACTCTATCACACACAACAATTAATACCTAAAATGGAAAGATCACAACAAAAGTCTATTTCTTCGTGGGCCTCGACTCCCAAAAATTTTAAGACGATCTCGATTAATATCGAGGGACTAACTGAGAGTAAAGAACGATTGTTGTCGGAACTCTGTTCGACCACAGCATGTGATATATTATGCGTCCAGGAAACGCACCGGGATGCTGGTAAAAGGAAACCAACGATTTCGGGTATGCGCATGGTAATCGAAAGACCACACAAGAAATACGGCAGTGCCATTTTCGTTAGACCTGAACTAGAAATTGTATCTGTCGGACTGACAGAAGAATCAGACTTTGAGATTTTGACCGTCGAAACCAAGTATTTTACAGTAACCTCGATTTATAAACCACCAAAAAAGCCGTTCGTTTTCCACAAACCAGAGAATTTTAACAATAGACGTACTAAAATTGTAATTGGTGATTTTAATAGTCGCAGTCCAGCGTGGGGTTACAAAAATTTATCCAAAAATGGAAAACTTATCAATAAGTGGGCGGAAGATGAGGGACTGGTTGGAATTCATGATCCCAAAGTACCATGTACTTTTTTCAGCCTTCGCTGGAAGAAAGAATATAATCCAGATTTGATTTTTGTAAGCAAACCTTTACAACAACAGACTATCAAACGAGTACACAATCCCATTGCATTATCACAACATAAACCAGTTGGTTGTGAAATCACCAACAAATTTAAATTCAATGATAAAAACCTGTTTATCAAGGCGTTTAACTACCTTCTTACATTTATATGTTATTTGTGTAGAATATTGTTACAATTCTTTAATAGCTGTTTCAGCAAAGAAATCCAAGAATGCAATCAATCTGAAATAAACGTATTACAAATACCTACATTGAATAATATTAAAAAAAATGAAAACAAAATAAAAGAAGAAAGAACATTGATAAGAAATGAAAAAAAAATACATGAAGAAACAAATGAAAATGGATCCGTTGTATTTGAGCTAAAAAATATAAATAATGAGTTCAATCAGTATTTTGAAGAGCCGTTAAATATAGGGCAATTAAATGACAACTATGAACAAGAAAACATTATGTATAATACAGTACATTATGAAGGAGTTCCTAGTCTTGAAGAAGTGCAAGCAGCAATAAATAGTATGAAAAAAAACAAAGTCCTAGGTGAAGACGAAATAAGTTCTGAACTGTGGAAGAACAAAGAACAAGAAGTAAGTAAACTTCATTCGTTAATTCATGAAATATGGGAAGAAGAAAAATTTCCAGACAATTGGAATGAAACTATAATCAGTCCGTTATCTCACGATAGAAAAAAAGTATTGTCATTTATTGTGTTAAAAAGACTTGAAAAATATGCTGAAGAAATCATTGGAGAGTACCAAAGTGGTTTTAGGAAAGGTAAGTCAACTATAGATCATATATTTGTAATCAGACAATTGATGGAAAAATATTACGAGTATGCAAAGGATTTACACATGGTATTTGTAAAGTATAAGCAGGCCTATAGCAGCGTAAATATAACAAGATTGTGGGAGTCACTAAAATCATTTAGTATTCCCATAAAGATAATTAGTATTGTACAATTATGCAGCCGAGAAAAATTGGTGAATGAGGTGTGTATGGTATTAGAGAACAAAAGTGGATTGCGACAAGGAGATGCGATGTCGCCTGTATTATTTAACTTGGCGTTAGAATCCATCATACGGAAAATACCAAGTTACCAAATAAAATCATTAAATGGACGATTATTATTTGCATTCGCTGACGATATCGTGATCACTGGAAAAACCAGGAAAGATGTGCAAGAGTACTTGGAAGAATTAATAACAGCAGGAAAAAATATGGGGCTAGAAGTTGATGAAGAGAAAACCAAATATCTCTTATTAACAAAAGGCCAGGAAGATAACTCTAATCTAAGAGTAGGAATCTATGAATTTAAACAAGTGAGTGACATCAAGCACTTGGGGGTGGATTTTAATAACAAAAATGATATGCATGAGGAAATATATTTTAGGATAAAGGAGGCTGAACAATGCTACAGCGAACGGTTGAATATTCTTAAATCTAAAACAGTACCAACACAAAAAAAAGAAGAACTTTATATAAGTGACATTAGACCAGTCCTAACATATGCATGCGCCACATGGGTCCTTACAAAAGTTGATGAAAATAAATTGCAAGAATTCGAAAAAAAAATTCTTACAAAAATATACGGACCGGAAAAAAGAACATATGACCAATTGTTGAAAGAGTTTTTTAAAAAAGAAGGCGTGATACAGTTTATCAAAGGAATAAGAGTGCAATGGAAAGATCGTATATGGAGAGCAGACGGAAGTTTAATTAAAACAATAATAACTGATCCTATAGATGGAAAGAGACCAAGGGGAAGTCCGCGAAAAAGATGGGTAGACAGTGTCGTGAAATAGCTGTGATAAAAAATAACCCAAAAAGATGAAACAGGTCGAAATATGACATACTTTAGGTAGTGATAGACGTGAAGAATCGTTCTGGCGGAATGGCGGCAATGAACCTAAAAAAGTCGTATAGTCGAAAAAAATTATTGGTAATTATTGGTTATTACACAATTGACTTATCTAAAATTAGAAAATACTAATTGTTAATATAATATAAAAATTCAATAAAATGGTATTTAACCTTATAACTGTAGCACGCTTTAAAATTTGCATGTATCTCCAGGCTGTGATATATATATATCAGCGTTTTCCGGGTATAGACCTAAACGTTACTAACGATCGATGATTGATTATACATCTCAGAAATCTTCAAATCGGAAAAATATTTTAATGTAAACGAATATTATGATTAAAAGTACGCTAAGATCACAACGGGTCGACCGAGATTTACTTATCATATTATTGCATTTGGTCATTACATTACATTATACAGTACCGTAGCTAATTTTTTTTTTTTTGGAGGGAGCACTCACAATTTTTATATAAAATCCCATATTTTGTTGAACGATAAAATACACAGAAAAAACCAATAAACAAAAAAAAAGGGCACGTCCCCTCACCACCCCTCCATCATCACCCATGCGCTGGTGTGTACTATTCAGAGGAGGTTTAAATTCCTGTTCCCAAAAAGTCCGCGATTTCAAGATGTCACTGTATGGGTACCTATATTATAATATTTTGAAATGTATTTATATTATAGTCATAAAATCAACTTCTTAATAAATAGATAGGTAGTCTAGTGGATAGGGCGTTAGATTAGGCAGAGTTACGGGTTCAACACGAGACTGTGCCAAGTTTTATTTAATAAACGAAAATTTCGTGGCCATCCGTTATTTTATTAATATTTTCTAAAAATTATTTAAATGAAATATATAGAAAAATAAAATATTTTATAAATCATATTATTTTAAAAATAATATTTTAGAAATTTTAATTAAATATATTTTTGCTATCTGGGTATGTAACCGTATTATACTATTATATCTTTGGTTTTACACGTATGAAATAAAAATGATGTGAAGGGTGATACGTAAAATTGAAATCTTTTTTATTGATTTCGATCTTTAATAAATTTGTTTCTCTAAAATGCTGCTTTTAAATGATTAAAGGAAGAGAGAATTAAATTTGCACGCATAATACTGGATGAGACAGCCTTATATAATATCATATAGGTAAATTCAAAAAGCTTAAACATCTTAAAGCTTTAAAAAAACTACAGTATTTCGCACATGAAAATTCCTCAAAACAATACAAACACCATTTGACACCACAGGCCGATTTAAAGCATCAGTGTCTAGCATTTAGGTTCGCTTTTGCAAGTGCAATAGCACCAGTGCAATACTTATGTACAAATTCACTCACACTATTATTATTTTTTGTATAATATTCTTTAGTTTATGAACAGAAATTTCCACACCATTTGTCTCATTCATTAAAAAAAAAAAAAACCATACAAGTATATCATAATAAATTTACATTATTTAAATAAACAAAATGGAATCTAATATGCTTTTACTTTCTATACAATAAAAACAACAATTCAATTTTATTCAAATATATAGTATGTAAAAACGATATTCAAATAATGGGCTTATGCTCTGTCAATAAACAAAATTCCTAGACTCCGTGATCGTGAAATATAAAATAAAAAAAACGATTTTAATGATTAGAAAAAAAATAATAAACATTTCGCGAATCCAAACGTTGAATAACAACGCCGGTCGAACAATTACGAAATTGCTATGTTATAATACGCGACGATTATAAATATTATGTTTTCGCGATCGTCTCGTAGAACGCGGCACTTGACTCGCCGCTTGAATGTATGCCACAATAATATCGTTTGCAAAAAACAATCGTGCGAAAAACGTGTTGTGTTCCTGGTTTCTATGTACGTACAATACCTATATCGGACGCGGGCGCGCGGCGTGTGATGCGCAGCGACTAAGCGAATAATATTAATTCGTGCAAGTAAATTTTCCCCGGTTCATCGATCTCTATACTGTTAATGATAAAATTATTATTGTTTTCAACGGTGTACACAGTGCACGTGAAATTGAATTAAATGTATTTATTCCCGATGACGGTCGTGCATATCAACCCGTTCACACCGCATTAAAGTCCTTAAATAAATTTCCACCGTGTTCAAAACCCGACGCCTACCTACCTGTTTTTAAACTTAGGTGTTGTGCCGACATGAATACGAATATTAATAATATTTCTACGCGGGTTTTCAATAACATTTTGCGCGTGGTACCAACCTTTGGAATGTGTTCGACAATCGTTTTTGCTTGCGTTTTATCTTTGTTATTTTTTTTTATCATATCCAATAACTCCAACGCCGAATCGGGTGAATCTAGAAGATCGTACTCAACACAGGTATCTAATAGGCCCGATTATTATGGTCTATTTTATATTTATGGGGATAACCGCCACCTCTCTACTGACATTTTTAGGACGTAGTTGTACTGTGCCATTTAAACAAAATGTCACATAACTTACAAGTTTTAACTTTTCCCTACTATACTGTACACTATATATATATATATATATATATATATATATATATATATAGCAATAAATAACTTATTTACAATTGATTTCAGCCAAACACGAGAAATAAGGTATAGAATCAGAAAAATATATTTGGAAAGGGACAATAGTTGCAATAACAAAAAAAAATATAAAGCTGATAATGCTGATTAGTGTGTCACTGTTATAGTTGAGAAGTTAGGACATATAAATTTGTTTAATTTATATCTGTAATCAACGATTACTAACGAAAGCTTTCTCGTCGATGATTTAACTTGGCGGAACTTATTACATGTTGATCATTTTTTTTTAAGTTCAATAACGTGTGTGTGTGTGTTTTTCTGAGTTTAAAATTAGCGAAGTAAGACATATTTTAAGTATAAGGTAGTTATCATAATATTTCTTTAAACATTTGCTAATACCAATATACCGCGAAGTTACATTTAAATATTGCATATGATAAGTAATATATATGATAAGTTATTGGTTATTGAAAACTTGATAACACGCCTGAGATCAATTATATTTGAATTTTATAAACTAAATAAAATTCTTTCATTAGATGTTATGCGTATTGTGTATGAGTACGAGTATTGTGTACAAGTCTATTATACAATATGGACTTATAGTAGGGTGGATGTGCAATAAAATCACTATAAATACAACAGAATCTAACTGTTAGAATATGTATGAAAATAAATAAATAAATACTTGGATCTACATCATCAAACTACAAACTTTTTAATGTACTGCCAGACATCTGTATAAGTTATCTGCTATTTTAGTGGTCTAAGCACTCATACTTTATCTAAACAGGTTAATAAACGAGATTTTATAGCATATGACACTACTGTACGATACACAAATAATTTAGTAAGACATTTGTAGATTATCTAGGAATTATTTTTTACAACTCGTTACTATTGGATTTAAAAAAAATGTATTGTTAATTGTAAAGCGTTGAAAAATAACAGTATGTACGTCAAAAAAATTATTAAATTTTGGTTATTAAATGAATTAATTTAAGTTTAGTGTATTTTATGCAATTATGATATTATTATGTTAAGAATAATTTTAAAGTTTGTTTTTATTATGCATATTTATTTTTACATTTCAGTTATATTTATTTTTTTCGTGCAGTTTATTCCATAGTTTAAAACTTGATGTTTTTGTATCTAGTTATTATTTCTTTTGTATTTGTTCCAACACAGACAATGCTTATTAGGATCAAAATAATCATTAAGTAGTTTTTCGTAGTAAAATGTACTATTTTTAAACTTTTTGTTTTGATAAATAAAAAAAAAATAAAACACTATTAATTGCTGCATTTGATTGGGTGAAATAAGTCGATGGTTCGTAAGATACGTTTTTATAGAAATATAATGAACTTTAGCTATAGCACGATAAAAACTTTACTTTGACCTAACCATACTGTCTTGAAATAAACAACCATGCTATAGGTTTTATCATGTTCACGAATTTACAAAAAAATAACCTAAGTTGGTAAGTTATTAATATATTAATTACATTTTAAAATTTGACGTTCAACGTGATAGCAGGTATACTTAGTTAATTAAATAAACAACTCACTTTAAACGTTTTAACTAATCAACTTTTTTTTTTAATAAATTATATTAATCATTAGCGCAACATCTGCAGCCGTATTAGTTACGTAAAGTGCGCATTTTAGGATTACATGTTTAGTTTTTTTTTTTTTTTTATATAATATAATAAATCATAAATAAACGTTTACTTTTTTTTCTTTTATAACAGCGGTTTACAATAGCCAATATATCTTTAACGGAAAACTCGATATTATGTTTGTTTTATGATCATAAACGTATAATTATTATAAATTAACTATAGTTAATAATAATCTGTTTCGTTTTTTATAACGTTATTTGAATTATTACACAACATTATTTTCTAATACCGGCTATTGACATAAATATTTGTTTGAATTATATAATATATCATAAAACTTTCGGTGAAATAAAAACACGGTTATAATTGGTTAAGTTCGTTAAAAATCAAACGTCTCTTAACAATTTGAAAACTCAATAAATAACTTGTGATGCAGTTAGTACAATGTAGAATACTAATATAATATAGGTATATTATGATAATAATAATATTTTATTTTATTTTTTATAGATTATACATTTAATATAAAACAACAAAACAATAGTATAACACAACAAATTCACATATTTTTTTTTTTTTACAAATAATCACGTTCTCATATAAATAATGACCTCCTAATGCCATTAAAATTGAATATTTTAATAAATAGTTTAAAACGATATTGATATTATATATTATGTTAATACATATTCAAATCATTATTTTTATACTTGTATATAATTTTAAAAAACTTAATAATGAATTAATATTATTATTTTAGATAAGTAGGTATACTATATAGGTAACAATAAACGTCAATGATATTATTATTATTATTATTATTGTACATTATCTATATAATATTTAGTGATGCACCGATATGATAATTTTCCAATATTCGATGATGACCCGATATTTTGTTATCGATGTAATACCGATAACAGTGAATTGATGTTTTAAATTCAAAACACGTCGGCTTATATAACTGATATTAATCGGAATATCGGACGAAAGCTTTTGCAATAATCAGGTGAAGTTAGGAACGCTTTTCTTATGTTCCAAATATTTTTGATGTTTCAATTCCGTAAGTATCAGGACGCGTATCTGTTTAACCCCGCGATATCCGATATTCCGATATCCTCAGTATCGACCGATGTGCAATATCGGCTCGAGCCGATATTGCAATATTCATCACTTATAATATTATAGGTATGCTGACGATTATTTGGTTCTCATGGATAAATCACATAATCGTTTAAGAATAATAGTCGGCTGGGGCGAGGAACGTTGGGTTACCATAATAAATGAACGCAAAACAGAGTATTTATACATGGTCGTGAAAAAATGAGGTAGTGCGGAAATGTATCCTTAAAAGTAGGTAACCATGAGTTTAGAATAGCCAAAAAATGATTTAAATGCTTTCTACGTTCGATATTAATGGACAAAAAATGAAATTGAATATAAAGTAGCACCAAATCGTATGTCAGGAAACAAATGTATCTACATAATCACAATGATACTGGGGCTGTGCTCATGATCGAGAGAACTAATGAACAAATTACGCCATGTACCTAGTTACAGATTGTTCACAAATATGGACATACGAAATAATAGACACTAATTGTTTTGGAAATGGTAACCCTACGGAACATTATTTTGGACCAGTGGAAAAGAAAGAGGCTGGTAAGGATAAGAAAAAAACAAATATCTAGAGAGGCTTTTTCAGAAACATGAAAATATTGGGTACAATTAGGTGTAAATGATTAAAACTTTGAATCCACTTTTAAGGGTAACAGTAATAGAATATGGACTAATGGGAAATAACATGGAAGAAAAGAAAGCTTTCGGAAGACCCTATTGTAGACTAGAAGATGTGGTAAGACTAGATGTGAAATTTCTGAATGGTTGTTCAGGCTCGAAATTAAGAGTGGCTGACTGGGATTGTTGGAGTATTGGATATATAATCTCAAGAAGAAGAAGAAGAAGAAGACGATTTTAATATTATGAATACATATGAATATATATGTGTTTCTTTTATCCACGATTACCTGCTATAAAACATTTCTAAATACCTAGTGAGTTTTAATTTCTTTTTTCATTTTTTGTTGACTATATTATTAAGTGTGTTTACATAATATCATATAAAGTTCATTGGTAAAATAAACACGATAAAAAAAAAAAGAAAACCCGATAAGACTTTATCGTGTTTGCATAGAAATTATTATTATATTAAAGCACCCGCAGCGAAATTTTGTCAGCGATCGCGAAATCAAAACTCGCACTAATCTCTAATATATGCTCACTAAACCGAAAAGAAGATGCCCAATGGAAAGATGGCATGCCGTTTCGTTTTTTTTCTAGTACCTATACGCGTTACATAATACAACATAATAATAATATTTATAATATTTAAAACAAGTGAATTAAACAATATCTAATTGGTGTCTCTTACGTTTTTTACATATTTTTTTTTTTTAACAAAACAGTATTTCATGTAATATAAATATCTTAATAATATTATAAATAATATAAATGTCTTAATAATATTATATAATAATATATAATATATATATATATATATATATTAATAGAAATTGATATATTTTAAGAATATCTATACGTAATATGTATATAAGGAATTTAAAAAAAAAAAATTTATTATAGCTTCATGGGCGAAACGGGTATTATAATAATGTAATTTTTTTTTAATTGTATTCGAATTATATTCTTTGAGACTTACGCGTAGTGTCTCGAGAGTTGTTTTTTCTATTATAATATTATGTTATGTGAGCCCAATAGTTTAGAAATCGAACACAGACGGTACTTTAAATAAAGTGTGGTCTTTTTTTTTTAATTTTTCAGTAGGTAGGTAGGTAAATACCTATCTATAATATAATCAGCGGAAAAACTGCGATATATTGTAGGGTTCGATTAATATTGTTTAGGGTTCAAAATTATTCCGGATGCCGAAACTGGGCGGTTCGAAAATCGATTTCATATAATGGCCATGATGTTATTTTAAAAACAATTTTAATTAAAAACCGATAGGCTAAACATAATACAAATATAAATGTACACCTTTTTAACGATTCACATAAAAATTGTTTAATATTGTTTAAATCATAATATACGATATTGTTACCATAATAATTACGATGACTCGTGTATTCATTCTGTTTTACAACTACGATTAAATGGTAATATTTCGAAAGATTATCATGTATGAATCGCTAAATGCAGCCATGCAGGTACTCCCCTTCTGCATATCGGGTTCAAATTTTGACATTTTTCAAGGAGATAAAACAAATTTCCAAAGTTACTAAAGTTTCCCATTAAATTGTTTTATAAACTTATGGATAATTAAAATTCTAACACTGTAGGTTACATTAGATATAAAACATAACATTTATGTATACAATTTTTTTTTAAGAGATGTTAAGAATTTTGCTTAAAAATGATTTTAAATTTGAACATTTACCCTTTCTGTATTCAATGGTTCATACATTCGATTATTTTTTATTTGACAGCTGTTACACGGATATTACTTTCACATTTAGCGATTCATGTAGATACATACAAAAAAATGATCTAAACATTTTATTAAAAACGTTATAATATTGCAATATAGAATCCGTCAAAGTATATCAGTATCTGTCGGAAATATTATTTGTTCTATTTAATGGGTAATTTTTTTTTCTTATCTACCCACTCACAAAAGTATAATATTTGAAATTCTGTTATGATTTTTAAATAAAAATGATCGATAGAATACATTAATAATTTTAATATTACTATATTTCTGTACCTATATTGCATATACAATAATACCTATATTACTGCGACTAGACGCGTCATTTAATTGTACTCATGTTATTAAGTAATACAGTTATAATATTAATATTTACACGATATTATAATTTATTATTAGGCAATTAAGCAATATAATAAGTAATAATGTATAATATAATATTATAAATCGGACATGATTGTTGAACAATAATAATAAATCTAATCGAATAATGTAATACTTAAACGATGTTTATTTGAGCGATCCAAAAACATGTTTGTTTGTAGCATTGATGTTTAATAATTAATTATTCTAACCTATATTTCATCATTTATGACAACGTTTATTAATACCTTATAGAAACGGATTTTAAAAATATTATAATATAGATTACATTCAAAAAATAGAATATAATTACGGGATTCGATCGGTTCATCCCCCATACGCACTGATAAGGAAAAACGAAATCATGGGATCGTGATACCTCTATTCAATCGCTCATGTTGGAAAACAATCGAATACCTATAACCTTTTCCAAAACCACGTCAAACAGATTAATATTAAAACATTAAACCTTCCGTGGATTTTCGTTTTTTTTTTTTGTATCAAAGGGTATGAATTGTCCGACACTAAGTATAAATTTTACTAACATTATGTTTATAATAATATTTACCTATATGTATACGTCCATCAAACGAGAAAATGAGGTGAAACGGCTACTAACTATATTATTATATTAACATTATTTTAATAAACGAAAGCCTATAGTGTATCTACTCGTATTTTATATTATTGTCTTTTTAAAAAAAGAAAAAATTATTTTTTTATTTTTCTAATTCACCTATAATCTTATTTTTGTGTGTTTGAGCTTTTGTTTCCATGTATAGTTTCAGTATCTATATTTCTCTCCGTGCGCTCTCCGTGACAGCGACGCAAAAACAATAATGATAATTATAATATCTAATCAAATATTAATTATACCTACGTAATATTATTAACTTAACATTTAACTGGATTTCTATTTTCATTATGCTTTCATTATGCTAAAAATAATCACTACTTATAACATTATGGCTAAATATACATGTATGATCACAACTTCGTAGTACACTGGTACAATGGCCGCCACTGGCAGTGTTTCCCGTTGTATTTCAATCTAACTGGTTATAAAAATCACTGCCAGCTGAGTTTTATCTTCATGAAAAGCTATGGAATAAACAGTTGTCATCACACTTATATATTTAGCCATGCTATAACATATTATAATTATTATATAAGATAATTTTCGTTGACTGTGACCGCCGCCCGTTTACACGTCGAACAAGATCACAGAACTGTCTCCATTTCGGCGATTTCTGTCCTGAAAATACGGTTTACGGTTGATAGTAGGTAAACGTGAATTAATAACAGCAACAATAGGTATTATTATAGGTGTTTATCGTTTGTTATGGTCTAATCGTTAGGTTGAATAATAATAGTTACTCGAACTATTTTAGATTCGGAGCATAGCAAGGTTATTAGTTGTACTATGATGAGTGTTTTTTTTTTTAAATTTTTTATTCATTTGTGTCTGTAAATATCATTTCTACCAGAAATCTTGTTCCGATGTATCAAGTGTAGCAATCTTTTTTGAAAAAATTTTATCTAGTTGGTGTATTGAGAAGGCCAGATTCTGATTTTTAAAAGAATTTCAGTAACAATTGAGAAAAACTGGAAAAAAGTTTATTGAAATAATTGCAAATATTTACGGCGCTTTGTGGCGTTAGCAATTTAATGGTTTTTAATTTTTAAAAACTATGTTTTCTACCAAAAATGTTGTGCTGCAAAAAAAAAAAACAAGTGATCTTTTTTATTGAATTTTTAATGTAGCAGGTGTGTAAGGAATGCGTTTTTGATTTGCGTTGTGATTTTTTTTAATAATTTAGCAAAACAAAAAAAAAAACTTATAAAGAACAGAAAAATGTATGAGCATAATTATTTTATTATTTTAAATTTTGTTTTTTCAATGTAATTTATTAAATCATTTTGTACAGACTCGGAATTTTGGCAGACAATTATATTTGCTTTTTCTAAACGGTGTAAAATTTTCAAAGTATTGGAGGAGCTATTTTTGAGCAAATTAAAGACATTTTAATACGTAAAATTACGTTTTACGTAATTTTTATTTGGAAGTTACTCTTTGGATATAATTTTTAGACCTAAGAAAAAAGCTTACAAATTTAATAAAACATTAATTTTAAGTCGCACTTAGTGCTAATATGATTTTTAGTATCAAATTTTGACGAAAATCGTAAATATTATGGCCCATCAAAACAAGTATTCGTATAACCGAACTTCGCCACTAATGTTTCGTTGAATACAGATATAAATTAAAAAACTGTGTGTATTTTTCTTTCTCAACATTTTTTTATTTAATCGGATTAAAAATTACTCGTAAAAGTGTAAAAGTTTTGATCTGGGTAGAAAATGAATTTAAAACCGATAATCTCGAAAATAGTAAATTATCCAACCTAAGACCATCACTACATTTACCGAAGCGACATTTCAAATTATGAATATAATAAGGTAAGGTGATGAGGTGGTGTTTTACCTAAATGGCTCATGATCGTATCGGTTTGCATATTCCGTTGAAATTATACTGGGTCTCACCATATCGCGTTGTCTTAGTGGCGATGCCGGCGAAAACTGATACCTATGGAAACGGAAAAAAACCATGGTTAAAAATAGTTTGTGTTGCATAAAAGAAAACTATAATATTATAATATATATATATGTATATCGATTAACTAAATTTGTATCGTTCGATTTATTATTTTTTTTTTTTTTTTTTTTTTTACACAAAGGTAACGCACATGCTAATATACTAACTATTTACAGTTCAACAATATAATAATATTATTAGTCGATCTAGTTAGCGCGTCAAGCAGCAGTATTATAATATATAATCATATTACCAACTAGCCTTGTCATAATTTCAGTGACAATCTGTTGGGCCACCTATTTACCCGGTTCTAGAAATCTATCACAAATGTAAGCTCACTTAAAATAATGCTTAAATTCTGTTTCACCTCAAATCACCTTTACTAATATTTAATAACTCTGCAAAGCGAGATTTATGCTCGATTTTTCTACCTATATCCTATATTTTTTTTTTTTGCATTTAGCTCTTACTGGTTTTTATCCGGGTATTTATCGTGGTTTTCAGCGATACACTGAAATAGCCTAGCGGAATGTGACATCGCTTTCTTCCTCCTGACGACACAAGTTTAATGTTTTTTTTTTTTGTTCAAATGTACCAAGATACTCTATAGGGATTTGACGTTTTACCTTTTTTCCGCTTTCAGTTTCCTCATTTCCAATTCCTTTTCCAACTGTTTCATTTTAGAATAAGTGCTCATCAACTGATTCCTGAGCAACTGATATTGCGAATCACAAACGGCGTCCTTGCAGCGGCGAAACTTCAGAAAGTCTTGAGCTTCGTAAACGGCACCACGAAACGACAACGATTTACCCATGCTCTACAAGAAAAATACATAATGAATAATAATTTAATTTAATTATAACAATATTCTACGATTTTTGGAAATGTTTCGGAATGATATTATTTAGAAATCTACACAGTTTGAAAAACTGTTGAGAATACGCTTCTGATATTTGAAAGAAATATTTTAAAGATAATTTTTTGCTAAAAAAAAAGATTTGAAATTGCTACATGACATAAAAATAGAACATTTTTTCGCCAGGTAAAAGAATTAAGATGATTCTTATAACCCTATTAAAATAAATCATTAGGGAAACTAAGATATTGAGGTGGGATAATAAAGCCCAAGAAGACTAAGATTAACTTTAACATGATTGATTGTCTCCGAAGTGGAAATAATTATGTTTGTCAGGACGGTATTAATTGTTAGCATCCTGCAAATCATAAAAATGTTAAGAATATTATATACTGTACGGTTATTACCAAACTGATGAGGGCACAGCATCCTCCTTGATCGGTTTTCGCCAATTTCTTTCGGAAAAAGTTAAAATACAAACACTCCAATAGTAATATCAGGGCTGCTAATAGCGTACCGCCCATCAACAGTAAAAAAGCCGACAAAAACTGTTCCAAGGCCAGCGGATCACTGGTTGCGTTTTGATCATGATCGTCCGGTTTACAGGTGCCTGTCATCCAAAATCTCTGGAGTCTTTCGAGATCACCTAAACGAAAACAATGTAATTTTTTAAAAAAAGGTGTAATTTTTGTCGAGACACAAATTTTCACCGAAAATATTCATACCATTTTCGCGGAAATCCAACAGTCTCTTGTTAAACATTTGAACATATTTCGAGTTCCTTTGGAATGCTATGGCATAACCGGTTTTCGCGTACCACGATCCAACCGTCAACAAACGGCAATCATCGTCTTGTGTCACCAAATAGTCGAGTACCGTACCGTCGTAAATAAAAGCGTCAAGTTCTCTAAAGTAGTAAAAAATAATAATATATTATTTTCAAAAAAGCCCATCAAATAGTTTTATCGATCATTTAACTCATATCAGTTGTATGTATTCAATTAATTAATTTCATACTAAGGATGAAAATTTCTGGAATAAAATACATTTTCGATAAATACTTGTGGATAAAATAATACAATAGTATAACTATCGAATGATTTGTTTTTTCAATTTTCTGAAAATTGTAAGGAAATTTATTGTTTTAAAAATTTTTTAATTTTTTTTTCGAAACTTTTCATCCCTAACCTATAAGTATATTTTTGTGCCGTTTAATACATACGCAGTCAGTAACGAGCTGAGACCTTCTTGCACAGTAGTCCTGTTGAAATTTCGCATGTAATAAAACATCTCCGGGAAGTATTTTTGTATAGTCGAATCGATGTGCGAATGGGGTACTGTACCGAATTTGAACATTGGTTTGTGACTGTGCGGTCTACTTAGCTGAAAACGGTATTTATAATTTTCAATTTTAAGTTTTTGACAGTATAATAATTCATTATGCAAACAAATATAATTACTCTGTAATCATCGATTCCCATAAAGTCGTAATACTCTTCGCGGGTGATCATGAATGCGGCTAAATTGGCGGTGTATATGGCTAAAAAAACCACTGCGAACATGGCCCATATGTTGGTCATGAATCTGTATGTAGAAAATTATTATTTGAAGAAAAAAAAGAAGTAAAAATTATAAGCGATATTCAATTTAATAGCATGTAATATAATCTTGTTTTATAAGTACCTGGATGTTATGCCCTTTGGTATGTCTACTTGAACCGCCGCTTGAAAGAGTACGGCCCATATAAGCCAGTATGTTCTGAACAGGGAAAATCTGTGATTCGGAGCTTGGGAAACCGACTGAAATTGAATTAATATAGTTGTAAATGTGGGATACGAGAATGTAACAGGTTATCTAGTTTAAACTACTATGTAATACGATAAATCATAATTAGCGGAGTTAGGTTTAACATTATTCAATACATGTAAATTTAAATTATTTATTAATTATTAGCTTGTAACTACAAAATAAATTACAATATTATTTGTCTTTTCAAAAAGTTTTTTTTCTTAAATTTGCACTTAAAATGTTAAAAGAAAAATCGAATTAAATACAGATTTTTAATTTTTTTATACTATTGTCAATTATAATTATCCTTGAATAAATTTAAATATACATAAAGCTACAAAAAAAAAAAAAAAAAAACTAGTGAAACAGTGAAATTTATATAGTTACAACTCAAAAAGTATCAGAATATGTAAAAAATTATACTGAGGCTAGAAAAACTTATCTAATATAAGTATACCAAATACTTATTTTGTATAAATTCCAAGTATCTATGGATAGTTCTCACAGAATTCCGATTAAAAATTAAAAGAAAAATTGTTTTTAATAGAAACTTTGTTGTGAAAATAATCCCGTTTTCCCAAATTATTATGAAAAATACATAAAATACGATAAAATTACATTCACGATTTATCATTATATAATATAATGTACAAAATTTGCTATAAAAAACCCATCCTGGTATTGATGAGTGGAACAAGTCTTTTGATTAAAATTTGTTCACAGACACTTATGTAAAAACCTTAATAAAGCACATATCATGGGCCACGAAAACTCGTGTTATATTTGCGAATGTGTATACCTTCATGTCAAAACCGGAAGGGCTCATCCACTCGAAGGCGAATATTGAGAACGTAGCTGCTTGTATCGCTACCACGCCTACCATCATCCAAGACGCGGTGTCGAATGGTTCTGGTATGTCACATGAAATAATTATATCGTATCATGTAATATTATACTGTATTAAAAAAAACTCTATTGTGATTAATTACCCAAAAACGCTGTCGGCGAAATGATACCGGTACGCTTGGTGACAGCTATAGATATACCGGTTTCCATGAACGGCAGACTGAAATCGACTACAGCCTCTCGGTCGGAATTGATCATCAACGACGTCATGACCATGTCAGTTTTCCGGTTGACCAGTTCCGATATTAAACCATTCCATTTTCCATTCTGTGTAATGCACACAAAAATGTAATGATTAAAATAGGTAATTATATTTTATGTAAACAACGGAATCGTAAATGGCTTGTGATGTATTTGAATAAGAACCAGAGTTGTAGTTAAAGTTTGGCAAGACTGCCTCAAGCTAAGATGCATTTACAACGAAGAGAAGAAAAGCCAAATGTATACAAATGAGTAACATATGGCTCTGATAATGGATTCAAAATTTGTAAGTTGAAATTATTAAATTATTAAAAAAATTAAAATTAAAAACGAAAAATTTATTCTGAGCAGAGTTCAGTTGAAAGTGATGCTTTGTCAACAATGTATATAAATATGTCATATTACAAATAAATAATTAAATAGGTTTTACATATTTTCTTTAATAATATTTATTAATGTTCTACCGATTTTCCCGGTTTTCCTACGTTTTTCCCGGCTTTCCCATGTTTTATCCTGGTTTTTCACATTTGCTGGTAAAACTCTTAGGAAAATCGAAAATATTCCTCCTTAAAGTACCTACCTATTAGGATTTTCATTTAGAAAAATTGTTGTTTTTATAAATTAGTGCAAAATTGCTGTTAGAAAATTGTGCACGTAAAAAAAAAATCGTAATAATTTAGTAATATATTTCGTACATTTCCTCCGTTTATTTTTTCGGTTTTTTACATTTGACGAATTCCTAAATATTCTTTTTCATTTAAATAAAATCACTTTAATTTACAATAATCTAAGAGGAGAAATGGTTAAGTTTGTTCCTCTTCTGGCACCTTAAGCGATGATATACGATACAAGATATAAGTATTGTATTTAAGATACTTGAATTGGAAGATACAAGATACTGTCATATAGTAAGTATTTTTTTTTTAGAGAATCATATAATAAATTATGCATTGCAAATACTTTTAGATTTTGAGTGGAGTGATGTTGCTTATGATTTTACAAAGATATTTATTTATTTTTTTCTGTGGACAATGTTTCTAAAAGATAATTTTACTGGTTTTTTGATTTTCTCACTAGTTTACTTATCAAATACAAAAAATCGAAAAAAAAAACGGAAAAATTTAATAAATATAGGTATTAGCTAAAAATATTATGGCCTTCTTTTGCCTGTAGACAACTTTTCTACTAGCAATTTTGCTCTAATTTTAATGGTATCAATGTTTCTAGATATACATTAAATTCCCGTCTGTATGCTACCTTCCCAATTTCCGATCTACTTCAGTTGTTGCACCCATTCTTATTATTTTACCTTTTTTTTATAAAATTAGATTCATAAATGTGTACTCAAATATTGTATATTATACATCTTACGTAAATTTCACCTATGCAATATAATAATGTGATATACTCACTTCGACAGTGCCCCATTTTCCGTCCGTGACCCTGACGAGTTCGTAAGTGAATCCCAGGTCCTCAGCAAACTTTTCTAATAAATCTATACAAAAACCCGAACAACACTGGTAGTAACTGCTATTGCGGTGCGTCTCGGTATTTTCTACCCTGCAGAAATCGTCGTGTTAATATTACCTCACAACATCATAATAATAATGGACGAATATTTTATTACCCTTGTGTATCACTTTCCCGGGAAATTCGGCAGATAACACCTCGGTTCATACTGCATTTTCCGGTTATCGGGTCGGGAGGTGCAAGCGTTATGTAAGGCGCCTCTTCCAAAAATGTGACTTTCAAATTGAACTTTTCCGGTACTCCTTGAGGCGGCGTGTGGCTGTCTCCCGGCCAAACGATGTCTTTGATGTACAACCCTTCACGTTCCCAAGATTTCCAAACACCGATCTATGCGTATAAATATATATATGTGTATGTATATAAGTGATATTATTAATTTTTTGTCTTTTTTAAAAAAATTTTTAGATTGCATGAAAATAGTTATTATTTATAACTTATATAATTTGTTAGTTTAATAAACTATAGGTTCTATAAAATTATAGTTAACGACTCATGGAAGTCTTATTATTTAGATATCCATGTATATGTTATATTTTATGGTTATAACCATTTATTTTGTTAACATCCGTGGTTGTTATTTTTCTCGTAATAACAAAATGATTATTAATTGATAACAAATAGTCTGTGTTTTAACAGCTCTGCAAATTTTACAGAACTAAAATCAGTTCAACAACTTATTAATTTAACAACTCTTAGGTTGAATGATATAATTTTTTAAATATGCAGGACGCTTTCTGTTTTACTGAACTGATAGCCAATTATCAGTTTTAAAATGTTACATATTATCTGACATACGTTTAGTAGAAGTATTCTAATATTACGAAAACGGCTTTTCTTTTTATTTAAAAAACACTTTTGTTTATTCAAATAGAAAGCATTCTCTGTGTGGGATTCGTTTCAAGTATATTGAGATACCTGTATTAAAACTTGTTTTTCTTTTCAATAATTATCAGTACATAAGCTTTATTTGTTATTGTTTAATAGCTGTACAACCTGTAATGACTGTAAAATATTAAATACTACTGTATTTAAAAGAAAGAATACAATTCTTTAATAGCTTGACAAAAATGTACAGGAGAGATTTCTTTTAAACGAGGTTTTATTTTTTACTGTTCACGAAATAGTAAAAAAATACGAAATTCATATAATCTCATAGACATATTATGAATTTCCTGAATTATTACAGGAGAAATTTTAAGATTCGCCATACAATTGTACTTATACAATAAAAATTTAATTTTTGGTGTTCTATACCATTATGATGAATTCAAAGTATTTAAATTCTCATAAAAACTGCGAATTAAGTGATAAGTATGTTAAACAGTCACATAGCTCAGTAATCAATAAATATATTGATGTACACATTGATGAAAACAGTGAGTATGTGTTTTTACACATCGTCACTATATCGGTAAACGGTACTCGATGTTATGTACAAAGAGTCAAAAATAATATTACACCTATTGACCAAACTAACCGTAACTCGAGGACTATAAAAATTAATTCATAGCCACTCATCGCCACTCTGTGAATATTGAGAAAAAATACTTAGTTATGACATTTGTCTAAAGTTTTTTATAAGTCATGAATTTCTGTATTAAATTATATTATTTAATGTGAATTTAAGTAAATTATTACATATAACCATTTAGTGGCTAATTGGTTGTCGGCTAACTAGTTAGTGGTTTTCAACCTTACGCTGAATCTAATACTAGAGAATATAAAATGTATTTAAATAGATCAAAAATGATCGGAGCGCGTTAAAAATGTTTAAAAATGTCTGGTTTCCAATATTATTTGTAGCTGAATTACCTGACAAGTAAAAAGAACAAATTTAAAAATATCGATACTGTTAATTCTGTAAACTTTCCCATTTTTCTCGTTTTTGCCCAATTATTTAAAATATCACTCGAGAAATTTTAAAACGACTTTCTTACACTCCAACTAAACAATATTGTATATTTTTATTTGCTTATAAACGATAGTTCGTTCTAAGTAACAATTAAATGTTCGTGTTTAATGTTGTACTTTTAAATACAATATATAATGTTTAATAATATTATATATATAACATAATGTTTAATGATTACCTATAACATTTACTACTTTTAACTTCTATTAAAATGTTATGTAATTTTCATTTTTATCTCTCGAAAACTAATTAATAATAATACAAATTGGATCAAAGAGTAGATTTACTTTTATTGTATTGAACCTGTATTGCCTCTAACATAAGCTATACCCATAACAACGTGTGTATCTATAACTTTTTTTGAATTTTTCTTCGCGTTCTTCCACCAATATGCATTTATAAACCTACTTTGCTTCATTTCATTATTACTTTTTTCAAAATCGTTCTCAATACCGAGTGATTTTTTTTTTATCATAAATCAACAATTATCTCAGAGGATTAAAAGTGAATTTAATTTCTGTTTGTTTTTAATCATTGTGGAATCATTTAATCTTTATTTTAATATCATTTTTAATTTTTTACTCATACTCTATATACCTTGTATCTTTATATACTTTTTTTTTAGATAGGCACCGATTTAGATGGACGCCGATTCGAATATGTAATATTTTTCTAGAAATTTTGGTACGCATTATAACCGTTTATAGTTTAAATCGTAGGAGAAGGAAAGAGCAGTAAATTGCATATTTATTTTTAAATGATAAATTGATAACTCTTTCCCACTCTTCCAGTCTAAACTTTAAACAATTTATAACTCATAAACAGATATAATTGTTATACCAACATTGTTAAAAAAAATATTCCCTATTCGAATCTGTGTCCAAAAGGGGTGAGGGTTCCTATTTGACAAAGAGAAGTATATACTTTTTAAGTTATATGGAGTAGGGGTGAAAATTAAACTGATTTTAATATTTACTTAAAATCCTCCGAGATAAGATTGCTAATTCATAATAAAAAAAAAATCACCCTGTATTATACTCAGTTTAATTTCTACTAATCCTTTATAATTTCCTTTAAATTTTGTTTTCTAGTTCTCAAGCCGGTTAACTTATAGTTAACAACTGTTAACTTATTTTAACGTTTCTCCTTCTAATACTATATCATCTGCAAATATCATACACCTACCTTACCCTGTATCTGTTTTATAAATTGCAGAAATACCACAGAAAGTTCTTGAAGAACTCTAGCACACTTCTACTTTTAACAATCGTATTTGACTGTCACGAAATATACAAATAATTATATTCAAATATTTATAATGAATTTAATATAACAGATAGTCGTAGCATTGCGACTGAGTTTTTAAGATACACCCATTTATGTATATATATATATATATATATATAATTTTTTTTTTGTATTTTTTTGTATATATATACAAATTTATTTTTGTTTTTTACTTACCTCTTCCCAGACAAGCGAATTCCCAACTCCTGGTCTAAGGTTCATGATTTTCAACTCAGCGGATTTTAAAACGCCATCAGCTGTGAATTCGACTTTTGGTTTTGCTTGCTCTACATGTTCGACACTGACATTTCTTAAATATCTATATAATAACCAAATATTTTCCGTTATAAATCTTACGAGGAATTTTTGTTACACATTAATATTATGCTGAGAGAATTTCAGATGATCGTCACTATAATAATAATATGTGCCAAGCCAACTAAATCAATCTTTTAATCACAGCTACGTTTTCTTTAAAAGTGCTTACATGTATGTATAATAAAAACTATGTGGAACCCGAGAAAATCCAATTTGAATTTTTACTATATTTTATTTTAACGACACGGCGGCGGGAAATTGAAAAGGACGTCGGTGAAGGAAGAGCAGACAAGTCTGAGCGTGAGTATAATTTATGGTCATGGCTAGATGGAATGGATGTTGATTAATCCTCAGAAATTTATCTCGCTGTCACCAAACGGCGTGTTCGCCTTATTATATAATCCAACATGTGAAAATTCCTTTTTTTTTTTTTTACGAATTCCGAATAGTTGGAATGTAAACTATTTGATGCAGATTTCGTTTATAAAGTCTCGTTGGATACAATACAATATTCAAACGTACTGACGTATTGTGTATTCAATTAATTTAATTTTCAAAATCGCTTCAATACCGAATCGCTGGAAAATCTTATTATATATTATTAACTAGTTATAACTTTTCAAAACTAACCTATAAAATTTTTCTCCAGTCCCCCAACGTGATTCGCCTTCGCCCTCGCACGACAATTGTGTTGTTAAAGTTTCGTTTGCATTCTCCGGGTCATTGACGAAATTTTCTACACCGTACGCAAACACTCTTATGGCCGTCGTAATCTCTTTGACTAAACTGTCACTGCTGGTATCAAAGTGCACGCCTATAACATTTCAAAAAAACAACAGTTACAAATTAATTCAATTACGGTTTTATAATTTATTACTCAATTATAAACGAATTCGGATTTTAATAGTGTTATCTTCATTGATAATAATAATATGACCAGTTGTTTCGGACTAACATCTTAATGATTAATTTTGGTACAGCCGTACAAAAGTATCTTGTAGTACGACATTAGAGATAATATTATATTTTAATCAACTTTTGAACCTAACCAAGTACCATTTTTACCAAACTTAAACGAAGAAGTTCGTCCTTAAACTGAGTTTAAGCTGATAGCTGATTACAATTTGTTCTATTATCTCGTAATCTCTGTTTAAAAATCAACATTTATGTTGTTAAGAATGTTCCTAAACAATTATAGGTGTTCAATTTCGATAGTAAATGCAACATAAATATGTTTATAAGGAGTTATTTTAATGAATATTTTTAAAAATCGAGAAGATTATGAAATCAAGGAAACTTTTAGAGCGGACAACTTAGCGATTGTCAGAGACTTGATAAAACTATTTTTTTTTCTGATCGGGTTAATGTTTGTATAGGATAAAACAGACCCGAGCACGGTTCAAAATCCGCAAGCAATTAACGCACGTCTCGGATTACGCGGGGGCACGCGGTACTCGTATAATGAAGTTGAGATATTTTGTTTTACGTATATTTTAGTACTGTAAATATTCTTAAATCGATCAATTTGAAATGAATACGTTATTTGAAAATTGATCCGCAAACGTAGAATATTATGTAAAAATATATACAATTTCATTTCATTCTTACATTTTTGTTAGGAAGATATATTTTTTAAAATACGCCTCAAAAATGATTATTTTACCACGAAATAATATGTTTGAAAGTTGCGGGCAATTTAATTTTATAATAAATTCGGCTATATTAACCGCCTGATTATAGTATCGTTTTCACGATCCATTCGATACACACGATTATAGTGTGTAATTATTATTATAATTTTTCGGTTCAACGCGGTAGAAAGTTTCCGGAAATTCAAATGTGACGAACTACGAACGAGTATCTGCGTATTTTAATTTTCCGAATATTCCACTCGGGATATAAGATTTAGAAAAATATATCGTTGCGAAAAATTGAAAATAATATTACTTCTCTGCAATCAGTGTTGTGATTATCTTAAAAGAATCATTTAAAAACTATATCCTAAAATATAATATATTTTATCTAGAAAAAACAAAAATAGTTTATAATTTTAATTATGTAAGGCTTAGATAACACATGACATTTGTTTTTATATACCAAGTGATTCATTTAAGTGGGTACACTTATACTCCTAAAAATAAGGGTGACAAAAATAACACAAATATAAAATTGGGGAGCAGCTCGTTTCGTAAATGTTTTAGAAAACGAATTCCGGAAAAGTTAATACTTTCCGAGATAATGAGTGTAAATGAATCATCTGGTACACTGGTACACATGCTGTAACTTCGGAAATTCACAAATCCGCTGTCATGTTTTTGTATTATAAATATGTATTTTTCGTATAATATTTTAAATAAAGAATTGAACAGATTTACTTATAGTATTTATCTACATACTATTTTGAATATGTATTAATATGTTTTGAATCTGAATTAACTCCCTTTATTAATTTATAAATCGAAACATTATACATTATCAGCTATCGATTAATGAAAATTACATATTGTCTTTATTTAAACTCAATTTTTTATTCTTAATTTTTAAATTTCATCTAAATAAAAACATTGGTTACTTATGATAACATTGATCGCGATATATGTAGAGCAGAAACGGTCGATTTGAGACGAATTTGTGATACAATTATTACAATAAAATACAAGGTTAATTTAATAAAACTCTTTTCATTACTTTTTTTTATCTTAACATAAATATGTATATTGTATATTCTTCTGAAAAATAATAAAATAATATCTTTTTTTTTTTTATACCTACCCTAAAATATGTAAATCTGACTTAACCATTAAAACAACCATGTACTTTTTATTATTGTTATTAAAACTTATATTCCAGTTTAATTTTTTTTCTCCGTATCTCTCATTGTTTCTTTTGTGTTTGGTTCGTTGACTCGGTTGTTTCCATTTCCGTTCGCAATCTGTTTTTTGTATACATATATAATATGATGGGAAATTAAAACAGAAACTGTACGCTTTTAGTCATCTACCTCTTATTCACCAGTTTACTTGACTTGTATATTTATATAATATATACATGCATACATACATACATACATACGTACATATATATTAACTCATCTCAAAACTATAACAGGTTTTAATAAATCCAACGATTATAAAATGTAAATAATCGGTAATTATATATTTATTTTATATACAGGTACGAGCATGGTCTTAGAAGATTATTTTGGACAATTTTTTCTTATCAGTACCTTATTTAATATTAGACACATTATATAATTAAAATGACACCGCTATAAAATCGTAAGTTTTTTTTAAAAGTCCAAATCGTTTTTAACAACTATGAACTTCGTAGAAACAGTGGTGATAATATATTACGCGCAGGAGCATGAAACGTGGAAACATATTATATGCATTTTTTACCTCAAAACGTATAGTACTCTTTCAAAATGTGTTGAAAATTGTAAATATATTCGTCCGAAGAAGCGAGAAATTGCCAGTGGGTTGATGGAGAGGAAGTAGTGGGACCTTATTTTCTATGGTCATGAATATCAAAATTTCGAGGTGAAAAACTAAATATTATTCCAATAATTTTTAAATTAATTGAATTTTTTGTCACTATCAGCATATTTTACGTTACTAGTAATTATCAGTAAAATTATATTATTGAAAATGAATTTTAGAACCAAACTTATAAACAGTAATCAAAGGTCAAATGTTTGTTTAATATTTTTAAAATGATCTATGGAACATGGAATGGAACATGATCGTTCAGTTAGAACAAATTATTGTTTATTATCCTATAGTTTATTATTTGTTAAAGTTGTATTTTTTGAAATTATTAATTTATTATTTTCAGTTAATATCTTCTGTAGGAATGAAAAAATTGTTGTAATTATATTTATTTTTATTGTTCACCAATGAAGTGAAGATAAAACGTTTGTAATAATCGAATTATCATATTTCCGTCGGAAAAGTTATTAATATCGTTAAAATAGTTCGAAAACAAAATTTATTAATAGGACAAAATTATCAGAAATTGCATTTAGTTTTCGACGTTGAAATTTCAAGGTAGGAATATTTTTATAACAACTTTGTTTCAAGATAAGATGATCATAAATATATTTTAGAAGTTTTGGTGATATTTCGTGCCAAATCGATATTATTATATAAACTGCCGATTTATTACTGTAAACTACGCTATCTTTAAACGGTCTTGATAAATTATACTATGAATCGTTATCCAACAAATTAACTTTATTATTAGCATATAATATTATATGCGACCCACGACCCTGACGTTTGAATATTGTTTACGTTAGGGGTTGTGGTTAATCGAGCTAGGTCCTTTTTTAACGAGCTGCTGAATATATAATATATAGGCTCACAAAAATTAATCCTACCCAAACAACAAATGAACCTTCACTAACCGATATATTTTAATTAATTTTTACATGTCGTAACGTGATATTTAATTTATACCTTGAAAAATAAACAAATATTATTATTATCAAATATCCATAGTAAAAAAAAAAACATTTGAAAAAATGAATTTTGAATAAGTTATACAATATTAAATACAAGTACACCTAGATAAGTAATAAAGATAGGTAGGTAGGAAGGTAGTGGGGATATTTTTAGAATTTTATTCATGTTTTACTATAGTGATAGTAGTTCAATATTATTATTGTCAAATTTTACCCTTATATAGCTGCTCTGGACTAAATGTACTTAGTAGTTTTATAGGCAGATTTCAGTGATAAATGTGAAATTTATTTATTATTTATTCATTTATGAATTTCAATCAGAATTTCAGCATGTTCTTGGATTACAAGGTGTTTTTTTTAAATATTATATATTTCTACTGACCCTCAAATGAAAAAAAGTGGATGATACTATTTGTATTGTGTCGCTGCCTAGGATGTTTCTTTGGAGAGTTTAAACCATGTAAACCTTTACTCCACACATACGACTGAAATGGTAATATACTAAAATTGCATATTTTTCACACTTTTTAAGGATTAAATAAAAAATAAAATATTAATTATAGTAGCAGCATTATGCCGGGTGTGGACAATTTTAGTGACAGAACTCTACTGCACACGGGTGTATTTTTTTCTTCTCATAATCGCGATGATGGATTTTAAATTTGAAAATAAAAAGTTATAATATCGACGTTATTCTATATATAATAAATTATTTTAATCCTTGAGAACAAGGAAATGGCATTAAGATTTTCTCGAAAGTTTACTACTTAATAATACATTTTTTTTATTTGACCGTTAAAAATCAGTTTTTCGTTTTAAAAGATAATTATTGTAATATTATAATGTATTCTTGAACTCACCCAGCATTCCGACCGGAAACAATTGAGGGGCTTGTAAATTCTCCATCACACTTTGAGTCACTACCCACACGTAGTTTTCACCCGTGATTCCAAAAGAGTAGGCTGACTTTAATATTTTTTGGGCCTCTTCCCTCGTACAGTACAGCAACATAACTCGCGATTCCGAATCGACCAATTCTTGTAAGTCAGCACTTTTAGTGACCAAAACCGAATTTAATATTGTAAACCTGTAATATATATATATTTTTAAATGCATCTTATCAACATCAAAAACATATTATTAATAAATTAACTTTATGCTAATTACACAGACAAGCGTCAAAACGACATGCAATCGAATAGTAATAAATTAATTTTAAGTCACAAAAATATACAGCGTTAAACAAGTTTAATTTTTGTTATCAATAGAAAACAATATTTGGATTTTTATGTATTAGGGGCCTATATAAATAACATGATAATATTGTATTTTGATCCTCTATATAATTTTCTTAAAACTTAAAAAAAAATCAATAAATATTTACTATTACAACATATTGTAATGATACTGTTTTATGGCAGACTTGTCATACATCTCTCATAAGTCGTCTCGCATTTTACATAGCTGGGCGCTAGGAATAAAACTGGAATGCGGAATACGAGCTCAGTGTGCGTGTTTAATAAATCAGTAGTCGGTCGGGACTATAGTCGAGTTTTAATAACAATTGGGTGATAAGCTGAATCTAAATCGTGGTCAGTCTTAATAATATCATCGAGTGTCTAATTATAATATGGTTTGTAAATTATCAAACACCACACACACCGCTCGACTCTGTTGGGATAGGTTAGACTGCTTCGTCCGATATTGCTATACCCAACCTAGGAGAACAGGGTTACTCAGATCAAGAGTATTTATATTATTTTAATATTTAAAAATCGTGCTTGGAATAAATTCTACCGTTGTTAAATTGTTTTTAACTATGTTAAGTGGTGAATGAATGTCCTAAGACTCTTTGACCTGTCAAATAAAACTTTGAAACTTTTATTTATATCGGCCAGTGACTCGATCCTAAAGGCCGGCCAGTGTAGTATGTAGTATGGCAAACCAACTGTTCTAATTAAGTGAATCGGATTAGGTATAAATATCTACATACCCTTACGTTTCATATCAAAAACCAAGGAGGTATTTTGCAAGTTCCAATCATATAATAAGTGTGTGTATACCGTTGATAATTATTTTAAAAGTTGTGAATTACCAAAATGTTTTATTATAACACTGTTAATCTTTTAATTATTATTGTAATTTAAATATTATTCCGTAAATAAATAAATAAAAGTGATGGAGACGCCGGCAGTTTCGCTCCAAGAGTTTCATCTAGCACAGTGATTTTTCCGATTTGTCTTCAACATTGAGAATTTATGTATCATAAATTAGAAATTAATAATCAATACGTTAATAATACAAATTAAAAATGTATATTTTTTTTCTTTGTCCGAAAAAACAATTTATTAACACAAGGTTTAAAAAATATGTTATATGCGATAAAATATTGTGACCGATTATATCACACAAAATTTCGAATTTTCGAAATACTATAAAATAATGTTTGAAAATAGGCTACAAAGTAAATAATTGTGTGCAAGTTAAAAACGCGTTTACCAAACTATTGGTTAAATTAAGCATTCAAATTTTTAAAAATAACCCTCTCCGACAATCGTCGTGTGAGCATTGTTATTTTGTCACTAAACAAATATAATATTGCGTATAACAAATATTTATTTTAATTTCAATTAAAATCGATTTGAGTTTTGTAATAATATCAACATCACGATTACATTTTAATTGGATTCGCGATAATACGTTGAAAGTACAAAAACCGACTTTCCATTATATAGAACTAAAACGTTTAACGCATTATTAATACTAATCTTAAAATGATAAAAAAAAAAATTACATTTTGTGTTACCCTTAATTTCGTGGGTGAAACCACTCCTTACTTTTAATTTTAAAATAGTAAACTTTATTAAAAATTCCATAAATATATAAAGTTTTAGTTTTGATACATAATATTGGTGTATTTAAAGCCCTACGGATGGCCCGCTCTGTAATTTTATGAATATGTTTTTTTTTTTTTTTAGTCCGTTTATTATTTGATTGTATACAATTTTTAGTGTAGTGAGGAATGCATTAATTTTACTATGATGAGATTTTTTTTGTGCCTGTTAATAACTTTTTCTCAGAAATTATACTTAAAAAAAAAAACAAACGATAAGATAGCTTTTTGTAGAATTTTGCATCTATTTTGCGCATAAGAAAGTAATTTTTTTTATATTTTCTTTAATAATATGGGGAAATGGGAAAATACTAAAAATTATTTTTACTAAATAGTTATTTTCGAGCTTTTAATAATAAATATATCTACTCAGGTATAAATATATAATTTATTATTTTCAATTAACAATTTGAAATAATTTTTAAACGCGATTATTATTACTATTATAATATTATTATTATAAATTGTTATTTATGACCTGCACTAAACAGATTTATAATACCCGTAAAACGTACTAATCATTCATACTCTACTTGGTGTATTTTATTTTAGTAATCGGTTAAAATGTATATATTGCACGGGGCCAATAATAATTTTCGTTTAAATCGCTAGTACTCGATAATTTAAAATTTACGAGATTTGAAACTGTAAAATTTTTTTTCAATCTGTTATCAGTAGTAACAACAATTTTATGCACCCAATTTTTTTTTTTATCTATTCAAACTGAAGTATTCAGTTATATATATGGTTGTATACGATTTTAATATTTCATGTAGAATATTTGTATCGATTATACTATTATATAGATAGTATTATGAGTCTAATATAATTATTATAATATTAAAGATAATATTTTATGATTATTATATTTTATAATTATCCCTGGGAGAGAAGATTAGAATACTATCACAGTACCTGTATTTGTTGTACTAGACGACAAGTGGGGTTGTAATATGTTGCACGTGTTTTTCCTGCGCGTTATTGCGCTCAGTGTCGGAATAACAAAGAACATGATTTTGATTCATCAAAGGTTTCATACAACTGAGCACAAAATAGGAAGCGACATTGCCATTGTTGCCCAGTTTATCATTAGAAATATTATAACAATATTTTAATAGGTTATAGCCAATAGATGATTTAAATGGTTATTACAAATTATATACTCATTAAATTTAATTAAAAAGTAAATAATACAAAAAAGTTTAGTTAAATTTAAAATTCCCGAAACCGACAATTGTTTATAGTAAAAAAATAAATAAACATTATTATAATTACCAAATAGTAATAATATATATATATATATATATAGATTCACTCTACTACAGTCTACGTCATCAATAACAATGAATATTATTTAAACAAAATAATAAATAAAGAAACAAAATAAAAAGTAAATAATTAAAATAGTTTTATAAAAAATGTATTCACAAGAAAGGGATTTAAAATAAAGTTTCATAAAATATTAAGCTCTGATAGATATTTCTAAGTACGACTAAATACTTAAAAAGTTGTCTGAAGTTTTATTTTTAACACACTCGTTATATTGCTCATAAAAAAATTAAATTTTTTTCTTCTTTTGATCTTAGCTTATTTATTCCTCTGGAAAAAATTAATAAATAGGTAACTGCTTAGCCTAAGTATCCAATAGAATAGTTATAACAAAAAATGTCAAAGGCTTGGACGGATTGTCCTTTATCGGATTTATGTGAAAACAAAAAAAGGATGTGTAACATAAAATTAAGTGTCGTTAGATAAAGTAAAGATAAACGTCAGAGGTTTCAGGTGACACGATAAGTTCCGTTGTACTTAAAAGTAAGGTCTACAAGATTGAGGTGATTTTGTTATATGGTTCAGAGTAATGGGTGGTAGCCAGAGAATAAGTGTAAAAAAGATGAGAACACTTAAATAGATAAGTGGAGTGACGAGAGAAAATAGGATAAGGAATGTACATAAGAAGTAGCATAGACGTGGAAATTCGATAGTAAATAAATTAGAGAAAATAGGCTTAAATAATTTGAGCACATCATTAAGACAGAGGCAACAAAATCAGTATGAATGGTAATTAAAATAAATGCAGGAGAAAATAGAGAAAGAGGAAAACTGAAAAATAGGTGATTCGATGGGAGATCGGGTCAAGAGGAAGTTTAAGACGAGGGTGGTTGACACTTAAAAGCTGAGATTTCGGTGAAGAAGAAAAAGAAGATATTTTTGTAATGTATATTGATTAAAGTAATGATATAATATTGTATGTATTAACATACAATTTAAAAGGGTGTGTGAGTTTCTAAAATATCAAACGAAATAAACTACACGGGTTAGCAAACCCCCCGAAATAATCGAATTTTATGTTTATATAATTTGGGATATTATTTGAATGATCAATATTCTCGAATAGCAGTCTGATTATTTAAATAATTTAATTAAAATTATACGTCTTTGCCATGTGTGTTAACCTATATATTTTTGAACAGTATATGATATATATAATAATAAAATCAATAACCAACAATTTAATGGATAAATCAATTAGACAAGAATACATATTACAATTTATTTTAAAATTTAATTAATACAATACGTCGAAAACAATTAAATGTATTGGAATTTGTATAATGTACATAATGATTGTGGTTTTGGGATAATCATAATACTTTAATGGATGAGAATTGACGGATTCGTTGGTATTTGTAAATCTGGATAAATTCGATAGAAATTCTAATGATTAGATTTTTGGCGAAAAACAAATTAATAAAAAGCTGATGAGCTTTTAAGTTACTAAACAATATGATAGTTATCATAAGATTAAATTTAATGTCGTGTTACACTTTATATATGACGAAAAGGTTATTAATCTTATCCAAAAATATATAGTATTCACTATTCATTCAAGGAAGATTAATAACTGAAAACACATTTTTTGGAACATATTTTATGAAATTATCAAGTAAAACCTGTACGATATTGATATAGAAATACAAACGATTTTAGACGAGTTTGAAAATTGGTGTGATAAAGAATAAATGTTTAGAATACGCTTGCCCGGGTAAATAATATATTTAAATGTGCTATTAGAAAGAGAGACACTATAGAAAAGTTTGATAAAAAAACGAAATGAGTGCATCGGCTTTATTATTATAATCAGACGTGAAGGTGTGTTGAAATTCATTATAGATGGTGGTATTGAGGAGGAGAAGAACCACATAGAAAGCTCTAGGTGGCTATATACTGAAATGTATAAAATAGATCATGGGAGTTCAAAGATGAGATTTGTATTTACAGTTAAAAGGGAAAGCAGCGACCGAAACAAATGTGTGAAGTTACAAACCAATCTAAAAATTCATAAAAAGAGAGAGAAAATATCGTAATAAAATGCGTAAGAAATATTTTTATTTTAAGGGCGTGTATAAAATAATATACTAGCAACAGAATTGTTATTATAAAAATACGATTATAAAATACTTATATTATTATAACTACGCGTTTTATTAAAAAAAAAAAGAAATATTAAAGTTGATTTGAAATAATGAGATGATCGCAAAAAGGAAATAATTCTGATGGTACAGTCTGCCACAAGAAAAAAAAAAAACTAAAATAAAAACGATATGTTTCGTAATAAATTAAATCGAAAATAATAATTCTTAAAGTATAAATGATTAGTGTTTCGTTTTAAACATGACTGGTAGGTGCCTATGAAAACGCCATTTTTTTTTTATTTTCATTTCGGCCTTTTACGTTGAATTAAGTACAGGTTTCCGAAAATAAAAATTAACATTATTATTGAATTTGAAACACGTGTTACTTTTAAAATATAATAAAGAAAATCACAGAATATCAAAAACTATTGAATTTTTAAGCGATGTTTGTGGTCGTAGTAATGGCATGCGAAATATTTAAAATAAACAAAAATACGATTTGTTACGAATTATACGATTAGGATATAAGATTTCTATTAAATGTTCTATTTTGAAATTATATTTTATGTTGTATAAATAATTATACTTTTTTTGTTTTCTAGCCGTACATATTATAAAATACTTGTATGTGCATATTATTTTCTTGGCATAAACTTCTAGAACTATTAAATAATGATTCAAAAAATATTTTGAGTTACAAAATATACTGTATTATTGAATAAAACATTACAAACAACTAGGAACTACTAGAACCAGAAACCGAATATCGTAGAAGCAATTAGAAAATAAGAGATTACAACGAACAGGGCACGTTCGAAAGAGTTAATATCAATTGCTTTCTACAGTGCGGGAAAGGAACCAGTCAAGGGAAAGACCACGGAAAACTGAGATTTCAGTGATAAGAAATAATAAAAAAAAAAAAACCATAGAAGAACAAGGAAGTCGTTTAGATTGTAAAACACGACTACACTAGCATCAGATAGAGATAGCTGGAGGTTAAGATATATGATGGGGATAGTCCTGTTGAGATCGCTGTTATACCCCGAAGAAGATAATAAAAGGAGTAGGTCAAATAATCTTATCGATTTGCACTCCTGAACAAGTTTAGTAAAAGCCGCTAAGTGTGTTTTAATTACAAATTTTACACTTTTATTCGTGCATAAAAAGTACCTAATATTATATTTTTATAACTTTATGAAAGTCTATAGTAATATGTTTACGTGCGGTAATAACGATTATTATCTTAAGATATCCACGCGTGATAAAAGTCAACATAAAAACGCCAAACATTAATACCTATAATAATTAGTTTAGGTACCTATTAAATTTGGGAAATTTCATAATCCGAGCATATTACATTACGGCCTTCCCGATAAGTTATAATTTCAAGAGTCGTTAACAACGGAAACTATGTGATCGTAAAATTGTTTCGTTTTGTACGCTTTAAGGAGTTTGAGGATATTTGATATTTTCGTCGTGAGAGTGTTTTATTGACGAGGGAATATTTCGATAAACCAAACTTATTTACATAAAGTTGGAAGAGTTTTGTTTTATGAAATTTAATTTATTTAAATAATATGTTTTTTCGAGTTAAGTCCAGTTCAAACTTCGAGTACTCTAATTCATGACTAACTCTTATTTTAATACAAGTACTACAATAAAAACCTATTTTTGTTAAATCAAACCATCAACGTGGTATTCTTTCTGAAAATACCTTGCATCTGTGAAACATGTGTAATTTATACCAAGGTTTATATTTATTTGTTTTAAATTAAACAGTCAGGTACCTACAAAAAAAAAAAATGTTTTATATTAAGGAGAGTACTCGACTCTACTCGAGAAAACTTGAAGAAGTTGAATACTCAATCAACTCCACATTTGTATAACTAATATTACGTGACAAACTGATTTGTGTAATCTTCAATTCGACTTCCATAGATATAAAATTAATACTTATAGTAGTATCGGATCCCAGCGGAAACGATTTAAATTCGGAATTTAAGATTAACTCTTAAACTTCTTCGTTAAGCTCGGATTTAAAGTAAGTAATTTTTATTAAAATTTTCGATGTATTCGTTTCCTCGCTTATAGATTCTAAACGTTTATCTTTATCAATATTATTACTATCTATAATAACACTTGAGCACAAAACGATTTAAATAAGGATTACTTCTCGGGTGCTTTCTACCAGAAGAATATTATGAAGCTAAATTTTTTTTTTTATTGAAACCGATAAATAAAAAAAAATGGCTCATACTAGGAACGGGTGCTCAACCGTTGTAGCTAAAGGTAAATAAAGTCAGGATGTTTAATACATATAATGTTGTTTAATTTAAACCTGTAAGTAGCGATGAACCACTACTACCGAAAAATGATTCGGAGCGAAATTCGGTTATGTACGTTTTGAAAGGCAGTAATGTTTAAGATTTTCGTTAAAATTTAACATTAAAACTCTTATAAAAAAAAAAATAATTTATAACACACAGTTTTTACCATTAAATAAGACTAATAATGATATTTTTGTTAAATATTCAAGCATTTCTGTTTAATTTAACAACTTTTACGCCAAATAAAAATTAATTACGTAAAAAACTCGCAAAATTAAAATTTCCATAAATTTTACTGCGTCTAGAAAAAATCAAATATACATTTTCTGTCGAAATGTCTAGTCTCTATAAATATTTTAACTGAATAAAAACAAAATCGAGAATAATAAAATAATACATTTTATAAATTTCCCCGTACTTTTAACGTTCTTTTTATTTTTTGCTCAATTATTAAAACAACTAGGAGAGGTCACTAGAAAAAATTTAAAAAAAAAAACAACTATATAACTCTCCAATTACATTAAAAATGTAATGAAAAAAGTCTCTTGTTTTTTTTTCTGCTGGAGCAATATTTCTGGTAGAAAACATTAACCGTAAAAATTTACAATAATGAAGTCGTATAATGTACAAAACAAACATTTTTCATTTTTCCTCTTTTTCCGGTTTTCCAATTATTATGAAAACACCTCGGATAATCAAAAAATTATTTTCTTCGTGAGCATAAACATCCAAAATTAAAATATAAAGGTCTCTTGGCATGGTTAAACTAATATTTCGGATAGAAAACTGTGGTTTGCAAAACTTAAAAACATTGAAATCGGTAACGCCACGACGCGCCGTAAATATTTGCTATTTTCCCTATAATTTTCTTTCCAGTTTTCCCTATTACTTCGGAAACCCCTTGAAAAACCAACAAATGATTTCTCTAATGCACCAAACAAATAAAATTTTCGCTATGCTTAAAATCTAAAATGAATTTATAACGTCTATACTTACTGATCGGAAAGAATTACTTTTAAAAATGTTCTTTCTAATTTCTCAAAAACCATATTTAAAACTGTGACAAAACTTTTACGATGAAACTTTTAACATTAAAAACGGTCAACGTTGAAGTCGGAATAATTATTTGTGTAAACGAGAATTAATTTTTTCTTTGAACTCTTGTAAAAATATATATTTTTTTTCATTTTCTTTAGTTGTGTTAATCGAATTAAGTTTATCTTATAGTTTTTTTTTAACAAGATTGATGATGCAAATGTTTCGTAGTTAACGTCAAAAAAATAAAATTTTGTCATCAGGACCGAGATTTAAAATGTAAATTGAAAAATCAATCATACCATTGTTATTGAGCAAAATGAACAAAGACGAGAGGTATGAATTTTAGTTGGAATATTATTTAGACGATGACGATGCAAAGATATAATAATTTTGATTTTCGAGCTATACAAATTATTTTGCCTACCAAAATGTAAACTTGCATAACATGATTAACAATTGTCGGTTCGTTAAATACGTTCAATTTTCGGTGAGATTTTTTGTAAAAATAAAACAATTTATCTTTAATAATTGTATAATACAATTTTAAAACGTAAAAAATGTTGGTGTTTTTCGATCCAACTATCTATCTATCTAATTAACTACCTATACAATCTATTTTGTGTACAATTTTAGATTATGAGTGAAGCAAGGAATATATTATATTGATTTTCCAATAATATTAATTTTAGATTCTGAGTGCTGGGAAAATAACTAATCGTTGCGTATAGATATACATTCAATTTCTCTTCTACTTTTCCAACTTTTCACCTACAACAGTAGCCCCACCCACTTACGAAATATGTTCGTGTCATTTTCTTTTAAATTGAATACAGTTTATAATTGATTGTACAACATAGTATTTCAAATGAGTATTTGGAATTAAAATAATGATAGATATATGTATGTTACATATTATATTAGAGCTGTAATATTTTTTTCTCTCGCCCATGGTTTTATTTATTATACTTAAATTTCAAGAGATAAATTTAAAACAAAATGATATGTAATTATAAACTTGGAGGAGTATAGGTGCACGAAAATTATTATTGTTGCGTCGTCGCTGTGCGAAAAGTAATTATTTTATCTTTAGTATAAAATCTCGTTTTCGATTATAGTTTTTGCTTTTGGATTTATGTTCAACAGGATTTGCATAAGCTAAATATAAAATAAATGTATACCTACTCATGTCAGAAATTTAAAACTCAAAACTGAGAAGAATACACAAACGCGCAGCTGCAGCAGGTGGGTACCTACCTATTATATGCGAAAAACGGTCCGAAAAAGAAAACTTTGTTCTTCGAACACAGCGGCAAAATGTCCGAACACAAAACGAAATGTACGGCGAAAATGTTTTCAAAACTTATAACCTACTAATGTTATCCGTTCGCGAATTACGATGCCAGGTACAGGAAAAGTCAATTGCTGTCAAATAACAACAATAATAACAATCATTTTATTATATGGAATATCGCGTTCCCGGGTCGATAATAAATTATACTTTTTTGCTGACGTCACTCAAACAACTTAAAATTTATAATTAATATATAATAATTCCAACGCGCTCGAACAACTGTTTAATATACGCCGCGGGACAAGTATTTCTGCGCATTTGCATAATATAATATATTATTATTGTATTGGTCCGACGTATTGTATGTATAATTAAACGCGCGAAATACGTTTCACATATTATGATTGTTATGCGAACGAACTACGAAAAAGTTGATCGCATATTTTTACATATTTAATCATTTATGCAGTGTTTTTGGCCATATATTTAACCATTTTAATAGAAAATGAATATATCACCTGGCCATATCAAGGACCGTTTTGGTGTTTCGATAAATACGTTTTTTCATCCGCGTCACGATAGTCTACAAATATAATACCAGGTATATCTTGGACTGAAATATGTCCCCAAATAAAATTTTCGCTAAGAATTAATCTTTTATACGAATTAATTTGAATACAATCGATAGTCCGTGTCTTTAAATTGTGATCAGTATAATCAACAAAAGTAAATTTGTACAGCAAACTGTAATATTCGTACAATGGCAATTACATTTTTTTTTTTTATCATATCAATTTCAATGGTTAAATTAGATAATTATCTTATTAATCCTAAAAATATATATAAACCTATCATCATTCATCAATCAGTGTCACATGGCTTCTAAACTGCACGAATTTTAGTTACCCCTATTAATGCATTTTATTATTCTAAATAATGTAGATTATTCTAAACTTATAGGCGTCCGACAAATTGAGATCGGCTAAATTAATTATTTTTCCAAGTTTATTCAGGCTAAAAGTATAAAATATTCATTGTATTTCAAATCGGTGGTTTTTAAACGAGCAGGATGCATTTGTCCGCCTTGGTTTAAGTCCGGTTAACTGTACTCTGGTAAATAAGAATAAAATATTCCAAAATAATTCAAAACGGCACGACGACGGTGACGTCAAAAAATAATCAAGTCATTCATTTACTGTCCGAATAAAGACAATTTTCATTCTCCAGGTACAGTATGAATATATATATTGTATAAAAACCAAAAACGTATACATGTTCGAGTAATGTAGTCGGAACTAGACTCATATAATAATGTAATTTAATATAGAGTTCCATAAGTGCAAAGTAGATATTAGATTAGGAAATATGTGAACATTATTTACATAAGTAAGAAGATATAGTATTATTGTTGACGCACTTTATACCAAAAAAAAAAAAAACAGAGAATTGAAAAACTAGTCTAGTTAAAGCTAATTTAATATTATAAACTTAAATAGCAGTATAGAGTGAGTTGGATCCGAAGAACTAATTGAACAGATTGCTGAATCGAGATCAAATACTAAAAAAAAAACCCAGAGGATGGCCAAGAAAAAAAATCGATGGATATTCTATAATATAACATAAAGGTGCTTGGAGACGGAAATGTCTATGAGTTTACAAATGATAGGAAAAAGTGGAAACAGTGATAGTTTGTTGTGGAATTGGGCCTCAAGGGCCTGCGGTTAAACTATAAAAATATCAATAACAAAGCCGCACAAATTAACAATTTAATTTAATCCAGATTTCCGAAATATATTAAAATATATTTTATTTAAAAAGTTGTTTAAACGTAATAACACTTATAACATATAAGTTTTCGTAGTCAATAATAATTTTAGTACCTGTACCTAACAAGAAGTGATAAATCATGTTATGTTAACATTCTGATTGTTGGAATTGCGTACGCTGTTAAGAATCTGCACCAGTGCGGCATTGCGTTTACCCGAACATTTCACGAAATAAAGAGTTTGTAACTTCGTAAATTGAATTACATTTTATTCGCAATTTATAATCGAATACTTCACGAAAATGCCGTCGTGGCCAGCATACCACTATACAAGTTTTCGTGAAACTTTCGAGTTTTAAACATTTTACGGTAAATTTACTGAAATGACACTGTTGTTTTGTGTACGAGTAGTTTATCTGGAACGTCTATGTAATTTGCACAGAAATATTTATCTCTCTATGTTAAAGTCCTTTCTAATTTTTTACTTTTAACAACTTATTATACGGAGTGATTTGGTATTATCAAGATCTAGCGATCTTCTCAGAGAATTTATGTTTTATTTTCAATCACTATGAAATTAATTGTGCTTTATTTTAAAATTGTTCACGACATTTTAAAATATTCACCCCTACTTTTTTCAAACCTTATATTATTTTTAATTTTTAAACGACTATGCAGCATTTCAATATTTACTGGATAAATTAATATTTTTCGACAAATATTGACATTTAAGTTTAATAAAATACCAGATGAGTAAGCAATAATAATAATATTTGAATATAAAGTAAATAAATATATAAATAAAAAATGTATTGATAAAAAAAAATAATTAATAAATGATCAATACGTCGCCTGGAGTATTATGATAAGTGTATTATACGACAGTTTTCGAATTAAAAATTCAACATCGGGTATATCATAGTCAAAATGTAAAACGTCACTGAATATAAATAAATTAAATGAAAAAATACATAGAAAAAAAAAAGAAAAATTATACAAATTGGTCATTTTACATGAAATATAGAAATAATTTATTTTAATAGGAGAGATTAGTTATTATTAAACATGGATATGTTGAGAAACATAAATTATTTGTTTATTGTTTATTATCTAAAATGTATTGATATAAGATACTATTTTTAAAATAGGTTTGAACATTCAAAATAATATTAAAATTATTTTTCTTTATTTCATTGTCTATGTGTAATTCTTCTAAAACTGATTTAATGTAAATGTTATTTTGGGTATTTAATATTTTTATATCTGTATTAATATCAAAGCTTATAGTATGGTTTTCTAAAACATGTTTAGCAAAATTTGAATTAGAGGCAGTCTTTTTAAATTTAATTTCAGAATTTTGTTCGTTATATCTTATTTTAAAATTTCTATTTGTCTTAAATACATACAATTTATTACGGTTACATTTAAGTTTACATATACCAGCGTTTTCAAAAGAAGGCGTATTTTTTGTGAAGTTTTTAGTTCTATTGTTTATATTTTTGATTAAACCATTATAGGTCTTAAAAGCGATTTTTATATTATTTTTATTATTGTTCAGAATTTTAGCGAATTCTTTATACATATTATTTTGATATTTCACACTACAATAATTAACAACATTATTTGGTGAGTTGTGTATTATTATGTCATTAATACGTTTATGAATTTTTTTAATAGTATTTAAATTGAAATTATTTCTATGGGTTATATAATAGATAATATTGAGCTGATGTTGATAATTATGTTTATTTAATGGAATATGTTCAGGCCTACAGAATATTGAATTGAAAAATGATATTTTTTGAGAATAAGGTTGATTAGAATCTTGTGGTATTATATCGCTACATTTTAAATAGTTATAATAGCCAAATAATTTGTATTTCTTAATATATCTATGTCTAATAGTAACTAAGTATAAATAATCTCTCCTATTAAAATAAATTATTTCTATATTTTATGTAAAATGACCAATTTGTATAATTTTTCTTTTTTTTTCTATGTATTTTTTCATTTAATTTTTTTATTTGCTGTCGCGTTTTACATTTTGACTGTGATATACCCGATGATAAATTTTTAATTTGAAAACGGTCGCATAATACACTAATCATAATAATCCAGGCAACGCATTGATTCATTTATTAATTTTATTTTTATGCATACATTTTTTGTTTAAATATTTTTTTACTTTATTTATTTACGAGTATTTACCATTTTAATAATTTTGTATTTACTTTATTATTTTATTAAATATTTGTATATTTATTTCTAGACTAGAGTTCTGGCGTAGGCATTTTCTTTTTTTTCAATTGGTCCAGTATATGATATTTAATTTGCAAATTGATTTTTCGGATCTTTAGTTAATACAAAATAAAAACTGTTGGTATTTTTTTTTTTTTAGTACTTTAAATGCTTTTTTAGGGATTGTATTGCTTTATATAAGTGGTTGTTTTTTTTTTAATGTACAATTGAGCTATACCACCCTACTGTTGCTGACTGCTGACTTTTCTTTACTCCCAGGATTTAAATTTTAATCTGTTGTAACACATAAATGGTAAACTCAACCGAAATGTTTAAAAAATTATTGCCATTTTTAATCTAGTTTGAAAACGATTTATCGGTATTTGAAAATCAAAAATAGAAATGTGTTTACGCCGTACAGAATAAGGGAAACATTCTAAAAATATTGTAAATAAAATCGCTGAACTGTTCTATCAATGACTCAAAAACATTAAAATCTATTTTAATAACATCTACTTAACATCTTTGTAGACAACCACTAATCACTAGATCATCATAAGAAAGTCACACAATCATGGTTCTACACCACTGATCAGTTGAAAATGACACTGACGAAAATAATAAAATAAAAAAATATACAAATCCCGAAATTGTTTTCCGTAGCTCACTATGCACAAAGTAAAAATAATATAATATAAAAAGGTATTCAGAAGTCGATTTTATTTGGTGTAAGTATTTATTTATATACACAACTTTTATGTCGGGTTGTAAGTCGTGCGACAATGAACCTTACGAAACTTATTTTTTATTTTTTTCGGACGACTTGAATAAATTTACATAAGTAATTCATGCAAATATATGACTGATGTTCCATCAGTTACAAGTTTATTTATGTGTGACGTCGTCTTATTTCTTCATATACAAGTTATCGGTAGCGTGTTTGATATACAAAGGGATATAAATAAATAAAGAATATTTTCAAATTCGATCGATTTTTTTAAAGATGATAGCTGCTTGGTTTCTCTACAGTCGAAAACCCGAGAGAAATACAGAAATATATGTTTTGATTTCTGTGAAAAGTTGTTCGCAAATAAATTATTTATTACATCCGTACGTTATAATATTATCGTTCAAACTATTATAATTCAAAGGTGTTAAAACTTGTAAAAATTATAAATAAATCTATGTTTTAACATTGATATATATTTTTGAGCCGGAAATTTCATTACAACAGGATATTACGAAATTTATCTCCATAGTAAAAACGATTCGGGATTTTGGTTTTGTGAAACCAAAAACTGTTGAAAGATAAGATGGAGGAAAATGAGAGAGAGGAGAGAGAACAGTGGTAGAAGAAATTATAGAGGAAAAAGAAAATAATCGGGACATGGAATGATAGAAGGTAGTAAGAAAACGAGGAAGAAGAGGTTGGGAAAATTTCTAGAATAGAGTGTGGGATTAAATCATGATCATTTGTGTGAGAGATGAGGAGGATGATGAGAGGAGATTCTAAAAATATAAGCCAGTTTGATTGGTTTATATCATATTCTTAGCCCAAAAAAAATAAATCCAAGTTTCAATTATTTCTACATAACTAAAAAAACAAAGTTAGGTTAATAAATAAAGTTTTTTAATTTACACCTGTAAGTACCAATAAACCATTGAAAACGAAAAATGATTCAGAGCGAAATTATACATGTTTTGAAGGACCGTAATATTTATAATTGTTGTCAAAATTTGATTTAAATTTTTTATAAAAAAAAAACTCGTAAAAATCTCGTAAAATTAAAATGTCTATACAAAATGACTTAAAATTTTTGAAAATTTACCAGGTCTAGAAAAAGCGAATTTTTTGTATTAATTTTAAGTCTCTAAAAATATGTTAAACACTAGTTACAACAAAAAAATAAAATTGTAAATAATAAAATGAATTGTCTTACAATTTCCGTTTTCTATGTTTTTTCAGTTTTGTTCAATTATTAAAATTTTTTTAAAGAAAATCAAAAATAAAACCTATTTCCTCACCATTTAAAATGTTGAAAATTTTGGTGTAAAATTAAAAATAAATAAATCGTACACCTTAAATTTATTCGTTTTTAATTTTTCCTCTTTTATTCCGGTGTTCCTAATTATAATGAAAATTATTACGATAATTATTGAAAAATGACTTTCTTCCTGATCATATAGATCTAGAATTCTACAAAAAATGTCTTTCGGTATTTTAGATTGAATCAATCTAGTAGATAATATTATTTGAAACAATTACAAACTTTCAAATCGGTAACGTTATGGCGTGCCATAAATATTTACCGTTTTACCTCTAATTATCTTTTCGGTTTTATCCAATTATGTAGAAAATCTCATAAAAAATCAAAAAAATTACTTCTTCAATGCACCAACCAAATGAATACAATTTGCTTTTTTTTCAAAAAGTTGTTTACAAACAGAAAAAAAAAATACAAGAACACGCATTATAGTTAAACAAATAAATCCCTTGCAATGATCCTAATCTAAAAATAATCAGACAATAACCGTACAGGTAGAATGGTTCATGAATTCGTTTAAGAGAAATTGCAATTTGAGATAGTATTTATTTTCCGTATTAAAATAAGTGGAATGATTTACCAAGAATCAGGTATACAGTAAAATGTAATACGCCAAAGAACCTTATCCCGCGAATCGTTACTTAAAGTATATAAACTCTGGACGGTTTTTAGACGACCCTTTGAAATCAGAAATGTTTACAAAACTAGTAGTGGCAATAACACTCCGACTTACTTGAATCTGTCTTGCATGTCTGCGACCCGTTCTCTGACGGCTTGGATAAAATCGTCATGTCCAGCGATTTGCGACGTCACAACAGAAAACTGATGCCACTTATATCTTTCCAGTATACTTAACATAGCGGCTGTCTGATGTTCCAATGAGGGTGCCAGTTGAAGTTGAAGGCTGGATCGCGAAGCTCTCTGTATATAAAAAAAAAATAAAAAATGAAAACGATTTTTTTTTCTATCTCTTCTCATTCAATTTTGCACATAATACGTTTGAGAATTTATTTACGCTCAGTATGTATTCCGTCGTCGTCGGGGAAAATATTGAAATGAAGTGGACGGAGATATTATATTCTAGAAAAATATTATATTATCTGTCAGCCGCACTCAATAATTCCATAATATAAAAGTTGGTTTTCGAAATGGAAATAAGACCGAGATCCATTACTTCTTATATTTTTATTCAGTGCAGTATATAGTTGCATGGTGATAATAATAGTAGTAATAATAATAATAATACTCGTATATTACTATTTTTTTTTTAATGTAGATATCTTTTTTTTTTAATATATCCCGAGAAAACAAAATACCTACATAAACAACGAATTTAATTTAAAAGTTGTAATAAGTACATTCTAACGATAAAATATCATTGCACACCTATAGTGGTTATATGGTTTATAGTTTTATATCAATATGTTTGGTAAAAATATATAAATATTAACTTATACATATAATGATCAAAATGCGTACACATTTGGGCCATTGTTGTAGGTGAGAAGTTGGGAAGGTGGTGGAGGGAAATTTAATTTGCATCTGTACATGACGATAAACCATTGCTAACGAAAAACGATTCGGGGTGAAGTTTCTTTTATTCATATACATACATTTTTTCCGTTTTTCCCGGGTTTTCCCAATGATTATGAAAACCGTTTGGAAAATTAAGAAAGAACTTCCTCAAATTATCACCCAAGATAAAAGTTCCTTCCAGAAAAAAAATATAAAAAGAAGCTATAGAGTGTATCGTTATGAATATCAAAAAATAAGTTTCAAGTACATTATCATCCAGCCGAATTTTCACATTTGTAAAAGTTTTATACGAAAAAATCAGAATATTTTTATATTGAGTCTGTTTTTAACGAAAAAAAAAAAAAAAAACATAAAGCAAAATCTCTGTTTATAAATACTAGTTTTTATAGATAGTCAAACTACGTAATAACTTCTTCGGTATACACTACAGAATCTAGTATCTAGTATTGAAATTCTAACAAACCTAATGTATTATTTTGTTAATTAATTCATATGATTTTTAATAAGCAATAAAACAAAATAATATATTTTATTTTTATGTCGAATCATATATCTAAACATAAATCTATCTTATACATATTACACAATTATGCCATAATAATATTGATATCGATAAGGAGAGCATGAAAAACGAAATGTATTTTATAATATAATAATACAAAATTTGTGTAGTACATATAAACGATTGAAATAATATAGATTTACAGTGTTTAACGTGCCAACATTTCCTACCAATAACATAATGTATGGTTTAAATCGAATATTCAACTTTGATAGACAATATGATTTTCGATTTCATTGCAATACAGAACGCCATAATAGAGTTTTACTTTTGCTCGAAAATAAAATCAAAATGTAACATTATTATTATACTCAGTATATATGGGTGATTCTTTTATCGTGACCTAGCGATTTTCTCAGAGAATTTCAAGTTAATTCGATTTCTTGTTTTCAACCATTATGGAATCGGTTAAGCTTTATTTCTCCTTCAGAAAATCATGGTTAAATAGATGACCAGTAAATAATAAAATTTGTTTTTAAATGTTTGTGAAATGTATACTTAATGAATTTGGTAAATTATTTATATTAAACGTACACAATTATCAATTTAGATACGACGAAATTTTGTCATTTGGAGAACACGGAGTGGAATTTTATGTGTTGAAGAATGTTTTTCTGGGTCGTTAAAAAGTAGCGATTTAAATAGAGGGCACTCGTGAAAAATCTATTTAATTCGAGAGAGCGTAAAATGCCTGGTTTATATTTAATGATATTATTAAATAGGTATTTAGCGCGTACTCTGTATTTGCATTCATTGATTGATACACGATTTACAATAATATTTCAAAGCAATGATATGTGTTAATGTCTACTATAGAATTGATAATATTGAATATAAACAATAATTTAAATAATGAAAAAATAAAGTAAACTAATATGGTAAATAAATATGTAAATAAAAAATGAATATATATAAAAATAAATAAATGAGTCATTGCGTCGTCGCCTGGAGTATTATGATAAGTTTATTACGCGACTGGTTTCGAATTAAAAATTCATCAGGTACGATGTAAAATGAGGTAAAATGTAAAATACAATTAAAATATTATATATCTTATAAATTTTTCAAAGTTTTGTCCATTATATTGTAAATATGATTCTGTACGTCATATGATTTCCTCTTGCGTAACTGCCATAAATTGTTTGTTTGTCAGTTATTTGCATGCTTCAGTAATTTTTTGTTTTAAAAGCTGGAGAATAATTGGTGGGTCTCCATACACTACAGTTTTTAAATGTCCCCAAAGAAACAAATCTAGAGGCGTCAAATCAGATGAACGCAACGGCCATGCTATCAGTCCATATGTCCCCATCCAACAAATGTATGGTGTGAATTAATTGGAGGTTTCATAATAGGCCTACATTTTTATGATGGAATATTAAATGGAAGGAGATATTTGGATTTTCTCTCCAACCATTTACTACCATTGTTTCTTAGAGAGTGTTCCGTTAGATATTAAAGAAAACGTATTTTTTCAACAAGATTATACTCCTGCGCACAATAGTATTATTGTAAGACAATACTTAAGAAGCACATTTGAAAATTATTAGATACGGCTATATGGACCGATAGTTCGGCGCGTTCACTTGATTTGACGCCTCTAGATTTTTTCTTTTGGGGAAATTTGAAAACTATAGTTTATGCTAACCCACTGATTAGTCTCCAACATTTAAAACGAAAAATCACTGAAGCATACACACAACTGATGACGACTAAAATTTATAAGATAATGATGACTGATGAGTATTTTTTGTAATAAATTATTTAAAATAAAATAAATTTAATAATAATAAAATAATTTTGTTTCAACTTAAACTAACTGTATTTCAGCCAATTTTCGAGATGAGGGAAAAGTTTACTTATATAAGTTGCTTAAAAAAAAAAATTGGTTTATATAAATCAAGTGTTGGAAATAGGTGTTTTCATTTGTTCTGATTTAAAAAGTTTCATTGCGCATGTGCACACTGAAAGAGTAAGGAATTTGAAAATCCATACAAAATGTGTATTTCAGTATTTTCTATTTTCTCTTGAAAACCCCATTTCAATCCCAGGTCACTGGACAGAAATATTTCTTGTTACCCTTTGAGTGAAACATACTGTATATAAATATATATATTATTTTTATTGCTTTTGATTTTTAAAATTAATCTGAATACCCGATTGTAATTCTGTATTTACATTGAATTCAAACATAGTATACGAAATAAAACTCTATTTCTGTATCAATTATAATTTACCAAAACACCAAAAAAAAAAAGTATTCATCAAAGTTTCACATGTGTTGTACGGGTTATTCAAAATCAGAATTTATATTTGACCCAATATACACTTAAAAATCCAATTGGTGGTGGCCGATGATTTATAACAAAGCGAATTCCTACCCACCTAGCTATATATTTATATAGGATTCCCTCGTAGTAGCAGCAGCCCGCGTCGACAACGATTAATTATTATTATCAACGTTTTTTTTCTATCGAATCAAAAACATCGCGTTGACGTTATAAATAATCGAAACATTTTTTCGCAATATTCATTTCTCTGTGGGAATTGAATTTTTTTTCTCCCCTGGCCGGGAAATTATACCAGTGAAAGAAAATAATAATATAGGCTAATCGGTATATTCACCACTATTCACTACCTATATAATATTACACTGTGTAATTGATATTTTTGAAATATCATATTATTTTATCCCGTAGCAGATCGTCATGGTAATAATATAATATATTTCGTTTACGGTCGCAAAAGAGTTATTACTTTTTTTGTACAATGTACCGTGCGCGGTCATCAAAATGTCGATCGATTTTTCCATTTATTTGCCAAGTATAATATGCCAGACCAAGATAATGCGCAAATATGTTTCTCTTCTGAATTAAAAAAAAAAGAGCGAGACCAGCTTGTGATTAAACAATGTTTAATAAACATTTAGACGTAAGACTTGATCGGAACGGCATGGAATTAACTTATCGAAAACAACGTGAAAAATCAAACGTTATAATTATTAAAAAGTTCATCTACCCACAAAAGAACCAATGCCAAAATATAATATAGTAACATTTTATACAAATCGCTGTATATTATGTAAATGCACTGATTGTTGCAATATCCATTTCCGTCTCGTGTATTAAGACTAAAATTTGTGGACAGATCGGCCCGAACCGAACTTTTTTCATCCAACGTGATGTCAGGATATATAATATTTAGGCCTGTTAATATTTCAATATTCATGCGAGACAGCTGTACTCTTGGTCACTTATTTATTAATACTTATTTCACTTTGTTTGATGTAGGGAAATAGAACACTTTCGGACGTCATCGTCACTAAATTGATTTTTTACTTTTCGTAACTATGCAGTATGGAGGAAAAATATATTTATTTATTTATTTGAATTTTTAACGGGTTTGACAACCCAATTAAAGTGTAATATTAGATTTACAGTGTTAAGTAGTTTATAGTAAAGGTATATTGTACATATATATATAATGTAAAGTTACATATTATTTTATGCTAATAATAAATGTGGGAATGACGTTTAGAAAATATATTCAATAATAGTATTAGGAAAACAATGCAAAAAACATTTTACAGTTGTTGGCACGATTATTCAAATACTTAATAGTATTTTCGAATCTTGTATAAGAAACATAACAAATTAACAACTAAAAACAAGTCGAATTTTTTTTTAATTATACGTTCCACCGAATTTCTCGGAGAATTTAAAAAATTATTTTTTTTTCAATCATTACGGAATCGTTTAAAGTTCAATTATTAAAACATTGGTTCAATCAGTACTATTTCCGGTTATTCGAATGTATTAAAATTCGATTTCGGATTCTAATATTCTTAGAACTTTTCGTGTTTTACAAGCAGCTATTTTTCGTTCAGTTCCAGTGCCTGGATCAAATCTATTTTCAAATTAATACTCCTATCCAATCTATGAACGCAACCGCTTAATCTGTTAAACTCGTGACGTACATGCAAAATCCTTTTTTGGATGCATACGACAGTAATCACAAAATGTACCCTGAAACTTTTGGTAATTAGCTTTACTTACAGGACGGCCAAAGAAATATTACGGTCCTCGTACCCCACAGCGTTCTAATTATATAACCTATTAAAGATTCAGAAATTGGCTTTACTAACCGGACGACAAAGGGAATATTACGTCTTCGTGCGTCACGCTGTTCCAACACCAAAATACTGCTTCCAATCCCCGATACCTTAACTAAATGATCGCAATATTTCCTAATGCTATTCAGCTAGAATGGGCAGTTCTATGTTTCACTACGCTTTGATATCAAAAGAACACGATAACAAGTACCGAATCAAAACAAGAACGTAAGTAAGTATACAGGTGTATATCGACCGATGAGTATTACAAGGCGCTGTGTAAATTTGTGAAAATCTATTTATACTCAAATATATAAAAATAATTAAACATAAATGAGTCTTTTGAATTACAACACACAATACTTTGCAATGACTCGTTATTTTGCCAACAAATTTCCGTATAGATATACGCCGAATCAAGATGAACAAAAAAAAACAAAAAACAAAAAAATCACCCTGTATACGATTAAACCAACCAGCGTATATCATTACTAGAGTATGATTATTATTTTGGTCTGTCATCCGCGGTGACCTCGTTATATTGTTATTTAAACAATATTATTATTGTTGGTATAGGGTTTTATAGCGGGATGAAAAATAAGACATTTTTCTCTTTTTTTTCATTCCCGAACCCAAAGCGTTTTTTAAGAGTGGATTATGTAACATCTTACGGAGACTATCTAAATAATTGAAATAACAATAATTTTGTTTTTATTTTACTACGACTGCGTATTTATAACACTTGAGCGGTTCGATAATATTATTGTATATATTCCCAATGTTCACTCAATACCCGAGCTTTTTCAGATTAGTGTTCTTAATTTTATTTTTCAAAAAACGCGATATAAAGAATTTATACAATATTTTAACCATTAGACGAAATATAAATGAGCATCTAGTATATATATATATATATATATATAATATATAAGGTAAAAATAATATCGTGTCCTTCCTTAATGTCAAGTAAATAAATAGATGATATTAATTATTTCGGGAGGTGACTGTGCATAAACAGCTGCATTAAACAACGTTAATGGATGTTTTTTTAAAAACACACATTCGAACGGATAACGGCAAAATAAATATGTATAACCAGTATAAGAAAGGATAATAGCAATATTTGTATTTAGATTAAATATAAAGATAATAGATAATTTTAAGTTTTCTAATGAAAAACATGATAAATACAGTATCTATATTTATACGGTGTATTATAATACTATTTTAAGCTGGTGAGTAATTCAAATTCAAAACATAATATTATTAAATATTTAAAATCAATTTGTACAGTATAAGCACAAAACATAATATTATACTGTGATTGAAATATGATTGATCATACTTGGTATGATTATAGTCATTATCTATATACTATTATTTACTAAACAATAATCAAGACGATAAAGTTAAAAACATTTCGGATTTATCATCAATATAACAAAAGATAAATTAATATATAGCAAGTCGTTGTCTAGATTATCTTTTAAATGATAATATTTAGATAAATCGATTATCTGTAAGTACATTATCAGATCTCTGCGTATGAAACATTGTAATGTACCATTTAAGTGGGTACACTCATTATTTCGGAAAATATTAACTTTTTCAGGAATTTGTTTTATAAAATATTTAAGAAAGCCGCTCGACAATTTTATATTTATGTTATTTTTTTCATTTTTGTGGAACACGGTGTGATAATAATGCTCCACCACTCTCATCCAACCCAAGCCTAAAAGTGGAATATCTCGTCAACGGATCGCCGGAAATCAAAAATATCAACACTAAAATTTGTTTGAACTAATACTCCATCTATTTATGGAATTTTAAGTATAGGTTGCCATTTGAAAATCAAAAGTAGGTAGTGGTTTTAAATTAAGGTGAAAAAAAAATAACATAAATATACAATTTTAGAGCGGCTTATTATAAAATTACTTACTTACTTAAATATCCTATAAAACAAATTCCTGAAAAAGTTAATACTTTTCGATTTAATGGATGTGCCCACTTAAATGGATCACCTGGTACATGTGCACAGGCAGACACTTGTATTTATTAATATAGATCACAGGTAAAAACAGTGTAAAAGTTGGGGAGAAATTTAACAAAAATTAACCTGATCTACATTTTTAATTTTTTTACATATTTTATATTATGCATATTATTACTTATCCCGTTCATCATTTGAAGATAGACGAAAATAAATAATTAATACACACATTCCAATGAACATATTACGTATGATAATAATAAGTGCAAAAGAAGACAAAAGAACTCTAGAGTGTCGAAATCAAAATCATAATATGACGTCCGTAGAGGAAGTATATAAGTATAGACGATTTTAGTTTTCAAACCCGCATTAATGCTACGCCACCAATCGAATTTGTTTAAAATATAATATGCAAACTCACCAAAAGCATATTAAAGAAGACGATGTACCCGACTCAGATCCGACCAAATAAATCGGGTGGATTGAAAATTATCGAATTCATCAAACCTTCACCTGGTCGTATTATATTTGAAACGATATTTTGAAATCGTCAACAATTCGCAACGCCCTAAGTCTTTTTTTTTATTTTTCTATTTATTTTCGTTGATTTTCGGATTACATAGCCAACAAAGGAGAACACACAGTTAATACTACTACTTTTAGAATTTTTTTTCGTTCGCAATGATTTATCGTTACATATACATTATATTATGATAAACTATATTATCCTGTACGTTTTGAGTTATTCACCTACACTAGTGGCTTACCAGTTTACCCACGACTTAAAGTATGTCCAGCATTTTTTTAAATTTTAACATAATATTTTATCTGACGTCAGATATTATTTAAAATATTATCATCTGCAGGTGTTAATTTTCTTAACTTAATGCGTAAAAGGCGAAAAACTTCAGTTTTATAAATTAGTAGACATTATAATTATTGTCCTCTTGATGTTTTTAATGTCGTTATTATACGTCTCGGACGATAAAGGAACAATATATTTTTTTAACGAAAAGTTCCGCTTTAAAAAAGTTTAGCGTTACATTTTGTATGACGTTTTTTGAATACAAAGAAGCAATTAGTTATACTAAAAACTGTGTTGTTTTTTGTTTATTGGAAAATAATCTCAGTGATACGTTATTAGAAAAATTATTACAAATGTTTAAAACAATTTTCTTATAAATCCTTTTTGTTTTTGTTTTTTTTTTTGATCTCGGAAAATCAAATTATTTATTCGTGCAAGTGCTTAAGAGGAATTTACATCCACATGCACTATTTTTGTCTTTGTAAGGGGCCATAGAGAAACTGAGAATAAAACAGTCGAATGTTATACAACTAAAGATTATTTTATCCGAAAATATTTGAGTAGAAACATATTTTCGACGACATATTATTAGCCAAAAATATTATAACCAATCGTGTACCAGTTAATACTCTTCGCATGGTACTGATTATCAACTTTAAAATAGAGGGGCATCCGAAGCTGTAGTCAAGCAACTAGGTCTTGTATTTTACCTACATTTTACATTAATATAAATATTATGTGTTATTTATTTTTAAAATATTTTACTTTAAAAGAACAATACATATTATATAAAAAATTAAATTTTAATAATGTAATAATTACTTTGTACAATATTAAATAATATACATTTTGTTAGTTACAATATGATTTTTGCTTTTGAATGCCTTATATCACAACCTCAAACCTTCCTCTTGCTCTACGAATTTTAAAGGACGACGCTTAGTGTTAGTTGTAAGTTTAATATTTAGCTTTGGGAGGGATTAGTTTGTCCCTGGAGCCCTTGATTTTTCACCACGTTCCTGATCAACTAATACATCATTCCTTATCATTATTTTGGAAAAATACTGATGGATTTTTAATTTTAATCAAATTATGAACATTGAAAATATAGAAATTGAAATTTTAATTTAACAATCGACCACCACGATGTTATATAGCTACTACTTTATATTATCTACGGTAGTGACCACGGATTATCATACATTATTTAATCTGTTTTTTTATGGTTAGCTGTAATATTGTCATAAAAATAAATTTCAGATAAATTATATTTCGGTTGATACACGGTTTGGCTGATTTATTCTTGACTTTTTTCACTTGCTTCCGCCTTAATAACGCACGGTCAATTTTACATTTCTTAGTACGTAAATCATGTTGGTTTAATTGAAACTAGAATTTTAACAAAATTTAAAGAAGAGCGTATTTTCAAAAATTATACGTGGTTTTTTGTAAAGAATTTTTTAGAAAAAAATCTGCTTACTAACCTAATTGTTTAATGGTGTGAAGTGTGTACATAACAATAAAACCAATATACCTACGTTATTCATTTTATAGTTATTTTAAATCCAAAATGTTTAGTTGTAGAATAAGATCGAAAATTCTGATTTTATATTCAGAAAAATGTTTTTAAAAAACCTTTAATATACACGATCCAGTAGACACATTTTAAACTTGTCTGAAATTCCAAAATTAATTGGGTTTATAAATGAAGAATTTAATATAGCTAATATAAGTAAGTGTAATACTCGTACCGTCTAACGACGTAAAGTAGTGAAATATTTTCTTGTTTCGAGTAAAGGTAAGTATCTTAATACACAATGTATAGGTCTTGAAACGGCTGTATTGAAAGTTTTGAACATTTTATCACAGTATACTTTTACAAGGAACAGAGTTTGGAAAGAATATTATTCGCACAACACGTAAAATAACGAACCGCGACGCACGAGTTGATCTTTCGGCAGAGTTCCCGAGTTTTCGTTTCGAATAAACCGACTTTTCTTTCGCTTACAAAAGCTATCTCTTATTATTGTATTATATATTATTGCGAATATGTTTTTCAACAATATCCTATATCCGTCCTTACCCGTTCGAGTCCCGAGTTGTCGGCGTTCCACGCGATTACCGGGATTCCCAAGTATCCAGCCAGTTGTAGAAAATATTGTGCGGACGCCGTGCTCCGGCCATACTTTTCGTAATTCATCAGGTACAAAATGGCCGACACGTTCATGGTGAGAAACTCTTTGCACAGCGAATCCAATATGTCTGAAACACGAGTAAATGGAATATTATATTAAACGCGCAGTTCGTTCTATATAATATGATAATAAAATACGTATAATAATAATGCATCACAATATGACCCGTAATTAATGATAATCACATTGATAATAATATCACAGCCTTTAGGTAACCGTAAACGTGCTGTATACATGGTTAGTCGTTACTATTATTAGTGATGCAAGTGTGAAATTTCCATTTAAGAAATTGCTTAACAAGAGATTTTCAAACAAAACTAGTTTAATTTGACACTATTCATACGGCGGTTTTCATAACCACGTACTTTCAGAAGAAGATCATCGTTAAAATCTGCGCGCTTTTTTTGTTAATACCACACATTTCACAAAAGTTAATGCTGCTCACATTTTGTCGATTGTTGGCATGTACCACTGACTCGTGTTTATTATATTTGGTTGTGTGGCGTAAATGTATTCAAAAACTTTTAATACTTAAGGTATTATATTATTATAATGGAAAAAAGTATAATTTCAAATTTTCATTCAAACAATTTTCGGAGTGATAATAGTGACTATTTCATTATGACGATATTTCGATAAGCTATTAATAAACACGAACCAGTTGTTCCGATAACAATAAACGTAAATATATAGATTGTCTCATAGCATCAATATTCTCTGCAACATTCACCGGCAACACACATAATTTATTCTTGCCTTATGATAAGTATTGGTTTTTTATATAAATTTAATTGTGATTTACGGTTAACGGCATATCGAATTTCTTTAAAGCTGTTTTAAATTTTGACATTTAAATTTAACAATTTAAAATTGTAACGCTAAACTAGGGCCCCGAAATTTTCATTTTACAAAAAAGTCGAAATTATTATTTTATTATTTTTTAACACAAAGTGTACTCTTATTAACGAAGCCCTGTTTATATAGCCACGTGATTATTTAAATTTTTAAAAACAAAATACGAGTAGTAACAATCTGTGAATTGTGTCATTTTTATATCACAAACTCGTAACATTTCAACGAAATATTGTTATAATGTGATAGTGTTATGGCTACAGTTTGCTACACTAATGTGTAAATTCAATATGTACAATGCAATTTTTTTAAGAAATTTCTCTTTCGAATATGAATAGTTTCTGAGTGAATAAACGAAATTGAAATTCGAAAAAGTATCACGTAGCACGTTATTTTTGTGCAGTAGTCAATATTTATAAAGATAAATTTTTTATTTTTTAAATTTTTTAAAACGATTAATAAATATATTAAAATATTTAAACACCACAATAAAAAAAAAGAGCTGATATTGGGGATGGGTGCGGCGACTGTTGTAGGTGGGTAGTGGGTAAGATGGGATACATGTAGTTATTTAATTTATACCTGTAAACAAAAATAATCCATTGATAACGAAAAACGATTCAGAGCAATGTTCAGTTATACATGTTATAATATATATGATTTTCGTCGGAATTTGATTTTAAAACTTATAATAAAAAAAAAAATACCACATTAAAATAAATTGTTTTTTTTTTTTACCTTGAAGTACGGCTTATATCGAACTTTTTGTCATAATATCAAGCATTTTCATTAATCCTAATATTGTATCTATTACAAAATTAGAATGTCGATAAATAGCTCAAGAATTACTCAAATGTTCTAAAAGCACGTCTAGAAAAAATAAGTATTTTGTCAACATTTCAAGTCTCTGTGAATATTTTAACCTGAATTACAACAAAAAAACACAATATAAAAAAAAAACATAATCTTTTATAACCAATACATTCTTCGCTATTCTGAGAATCTAAAATACACTGATAAATTGTTACAACGATGAATATTTATACATATTTATCACGACATAGTATGAAAATAAGTTACGCCAATGACTTATTGCACTACCATTTGTACGAATATACGAATTATTAATATACATACTACCTATTTTATTAGAGTGGTCGTATTATTTCAAATTTCCCAGTCCATTGAACTGTAAATCTTGGACAAAAAATGGAAGAAATAAATATTGGGTTGAAATCACAGAAGTATATTTATAATGTTTTATCGAATATAATTCTATAGGAAATAAAAATATTGGCCCATGACGAAAAAATGGCCTCTCCTTAATTTGATTTGTTTAATGCTGTATGTTTTATATTTGAGCCTTATAGTGAAGAATATATTGGGTTTACTATATGTAAATGGGTGCTTTATGTTGTTTGTGTGTCTATTGTTAACATCTTGCCCTAACCATTTAATTTCCAAACCGTTATAGTATTGGAATAAAAGTGTTTAAATACAATTATTCGAATACTTTTTAAGTATTGAATTAAGTATTTCAAATAATACTACGAATAATTTTTCTACGAAATTATTTGAAAGTACTTAAAATATTTTTCAATGATGATATTTGTGTTTCAAATCGAACACTTATATTTAAATTTGTTATTATAATTTTTTTTTTTTTTTAAAAAAAAACATTAAATTGAATCACACTGCAATACACAATGTTGAAGTTTAAAAAAATTCAAAATGGTAACTTGCATACTACATTAGGTAAATCAAATAATCGTAGAGACCTGGAACTAATTTTTACCAAAATACTTACATTGTGTATCACTTTATACAGGTAGTAAATTGTTCAAAACTTTTTGTTACATAAACGTTTAAAATTCTAATTTTTATATTACAAACTCGAGAATAAAATACACGAACAATTGTAATTTATTTGGTAATTCTAAGTTAGTAAAATTTAAAACTAAATTATCCTGTACATATAGGTATCCTATAAATTCCAAATGCCCTGCTTAAAACAGTGGCATCCCCACCATGGTTAATAGTGGATACATTTGCCGGTTTCTTTAATTTGGATACTCGTGAATAGTTTTATATCGAAAAATCTTGACGATATTATAGTAACTAAGTAGGTATATTTTATTTATATAAGTCGTAAGTACGGTAAACATAATAAATTCTAATTTACCGACTGAAGCTTAATTCGTACATCTATAAGTATATGTGCATGACCATTACCCGCGTTAGCTTATTAAATTTATATAAACACGAGCGAACATTTTACCTTATTAGTGCGGTTTTAGCTAGGTATCAAATTAAATACATACATAAATTATTGCAAATATAAATATATAATGTACTATATTATACACGAAATTTGATTTCCCCTTTCTTGTATTATCAAAAATGTATATTTTATTTTTAACGAATAAGTTACACTTTTAATAAAATGTAAAATACCCAATCTACATTTATTAAATTTGGTTTCAGGTCATGTTACTCTATATTTTTACACGGGATTTTCGGGGAGGAGCAATATTCGATAAAATAAAATAAGCAGCCATTGTAGTAAGTTGAACAAAATATCAATAAATGCTCAACTGTGAAATGGCAGATAGTAAATAAATTAGTGTATTGTTGATTTAAAATAATATTGATTTCCACGATAATAGAATTTGATATTTTTGTTACAATTTTTTTAAATTTATTTTTTTTTTTTTAAATTCAGTTTTGTACAAAATTAAAGCATGATGGTGTCAGACTAGTTTTCACACACTGGTGATCAAAGTTTATTAAAATATATTCGGTCACAAGTTAAAAACCATTTTTTTTTTCGTTAAATAAACGACACATATCATCAAATTTCTCTTGTTTAGTAAGTAAAAAGTCATAAGACAGGGTATGCGAAAAACGTAAAATTAATTAATTGTTTGTTACGCTTATAATATTAATAGACCGGACGGACACTAAGGGTCATAAAAAAATATTCTAAAAAATATGTACCTACATAAAAATGGAAAGTTGAAATGATATACTTAGATAATAGTGTGTACATAATCAGAACTGAAATTATTGTTCTATGGATAACGATTACATTTTTCGACCATTTCAAAAAAATCACTCAATATCTTGATGATTTTTAAATGATCCCTAAAAGTCGAAACTACGTTTTACGAGAGAGAGAAAAAAATACAATTATATCATTATAAATTGGAGCAAAAATGCTGGTAGAAAAGTTTTACACAGAAAAAAAATAAAACCGTCATATATTTTAACTAAGACCTAAATTTTTAAAAAATTAAACATCTTTGTTAAACCATAAGCTTCCTCACTTCACTCAGAATCTAAAATTACTATATAATAAAACTATGATAACTTTCCCAAAATTTAAAAATCAACTACCCTCCACTCTCGGTAGTTTTATTTGGGTGGAACTTCTAGACATTTTTTGGTTTATACAAATGTAACCCTAATGTTTCAATAAATAAGTGTTTTTTTTTATACCAACCGATAAAAACAATAAACTACTATGATATACTATCGTGTATAGTGAAATATCGAATGATATTAGTTTCAATTTCAATATAAATTACAATGAATGTATATATTTTTATTGTTATAACATACGCCATTCCCTTCAGAGAGAAAAGTATCGAAAGAATACAGAATTTTTTAGGTTCATATTGTAGAATTATATAAATATTTCTGAAAACGACGGTTAAGTATGCAAAAACTTTAAAAATATCAAATGATTGATACAGTACAAATAATATTTTTTGTGATTTATGAGTGTCCTCGTAAAAACTGAAAAATTAAAATTTTCATAACTATACATTTGTGTTTGTTAAAATAAAGCCTATACTTCCTATATTATTGTGAATTTTAATGTTTGTTGCATATTTTTTTTTTTTTTTTTAAAGAAACAATTATTGAAGTTGTGTATTATGATATTTTGAAAAAAATATAGCGCTGTGGTAAAAATCATATGACAGACTATTTGTGTTAATTACAAACATCTCAATTTAAACATTTTAAATTTGATTGAAAGAGAATAATATTAAAATAAAACTTTTTCTCGTAATTAAGTCAAAATGTATAGCTCATATTATATTTGTATGTATTTTTATTGTGCCTATAACATTATACGGTTTAAAGTGCTGTATAATATAGTATTATTATATATTAACTAATAAATTATTATGTTTATAAATATTAAAAACTGTTAAAAATACTTAACTACATAAACTAACAACGATATGTTGCGGTTAAAAATATTAAATATATAAGAACGTTTAGGTAAGCAAATGGTTACAAAAGTTTAAAAATGAATTAAATATAAAATATATTTAAATTTGTCGAGGGAAAAATAAATTTTGATTTTTTTTTCTTTGGAACATAATGAAAAAATAAAAATATTTATCAATATATTATTTGGAAAATATTGAACGTATATGTTGGAAGAACCAGACAAGAGATTGACGTAATAAAATACTTAATGACAAGAAGCGGTGATATAATAGGCGAGAATGAGAGATTTTTGTACCTGGGATCTTTTGAATAAAATAACTGTAGATTTAACGAGGATATGTAAAATAGTATTAAGTTTGGTTAGATAAAGTGAATGAAAGCGTAGAGTGTTATATATGACAAAAGAATTTCAATGAGGCTTAAAGATAAGTAAGTTTCATTTGAATTTAATATCACAAGAGTGAGATCGACTATGTTGTATGTCTCAGAGTGTTTGGCTATCGCCAAATACCGCCTGTTCAATTTTTCTATCTACCGATAAAAAAATAGAACAGAAAATCAAAAACTTAGATGAGAATGCTTAGGTATATAAGTAGAGTGATGAGAGAAAATAAATTAAGAGACAAGTAGCATAGGCGTGACTTATAGTAGAAAAAATGAGAGAAAATTAACCGAGTTAGTTCGGGCATGTTATGAGGAGAAAAGAATCCTAAGTAGTATAAATAATAATGGAAATAAACGCAGGAGAAATCAGGAGGAGAAGACTGAAAAGAGGTGGTTGGAATAATAATAAAGTGGTTGATAGAATGAGGACAATGGATGTATGTGAAGAAGATTTGGATGATCGATTCAAGTAGAAGTTTAGAACGGAGGTGATTTCCTCAAAACAGTTTAGGTAAATGTGAAGAAGAATAAGATGGTTTTCAAATAAATGTACATACAATACAAAAATAAAAAAAGGACGGATATATTTCACACGTGGGTGCAGCCACTGTTATAGATGGGAAGTTGGGAAGATAGATTATAGACAGGAATTCAATATATATCTGCAAGCAACAATAAACCATTGCTAACGAATAAACGATCCTGAGCAAAGTTAAGTTGATAGTATTGTATTGTAAACAATATATATGTCATATTCTGGTAAAATTATTACAACAATATGCGTTTCCATGAAAAAAATGATTATTTAAAAAAATACTAAAATAATAAAAACTTAATAACAACAAAAAATAAATAAAATGGTTGCCAATGACAACCTTATTTTTAATATTTCATTTTCTCATTCTCAATAGTTATGCTTAGGATGCCCATATTTAACGCTACAGTACGGGAATCAATTGTAATATTTTCAGGGTCAATTGTACGGCGATTACGATATTTGTCCACCAAATATTATTAGTTTGATATTTGACAAACTTAAAAGTTTAAACACTGTTTTTCATGTTGAAATCCTTAGAGTAATATTGAAATTAAAAATATAATAATGGAATTTGTTTTGTTTACTTGAACATAATCTAGCTATGCCAATATTGTGCCGAACGGAAGTGACAGAAAGTTTCTCTCTTTACCGTCCATATAAAAGTTCGCTACCCATTTCATTGCGCATATTACGTGTGCATTGTTCTATAGTATCTGCAGATAAAATCAAACAGAAAGTTTGTTTTGATGTATTAAAGATATTTCGAAATACCGAAAACGATTACAATATTTCTATATCACTTTTATAACGTGGAACAAACTGTCAGTTTTCTCGTGGTCGTGGAGTACACGATTCATACATACCTAAAATATACGTAAATTTGTAAATAATATTACAACAGGAACACCAATGATATTAACAATAATTATAATATAAATCGCTTAATATTACAAAGAGAATGAGAGCGTAGTCATATTTACAAGCAATATTTCGAAAGTCTTATTTGTCCGGATTCGCGTGTATTTAGTCACAAAGAAAATTAATTACAAATTATTTTGGTTTAAACCATTCACCGTTCATCCGTACACACTGTATACGTATAACAACGTTATTAGTTAGTTTTTAAGGCCAATAGAAAATAGTGTGGAAAATGTCGACATACAATTTTCTACCGATCACACATTATAATAATATAAAACTCCATTTGAAAGTACCACATTCGGTTATTAATGTAACCCCCGAGCAGAACGAATCGTAAACGTATTTTTCAACGGCATTGTGTTATTCGCGGAGAACACATCAACAAATTAAAATTATATTAGTCGGGTGTTTTGAATAATTTACCATTTATTCCTGACACGTCGGTGTATCCATCATAAAAAAATAATAATTTTTACACAAACATAAAAACACGATACCAAACGATCGCTTAAAGAAACAGCCGCATCTCCTGACAGAGGGACATGGAAGAAAATGTTTGGGTTGCTCCGGAGCATTTTTCCTCTCGCGAACAATTGTTTTTTTAATTGTTTTTTAATCGTTAAATTCACACTAATAATTACGATAAGCTATCCGGATAAACATTGTGATAGCGCGTCCTGATTACCCACACATTAAATTATACTTCCCTCAATGCATCAAAATCGATATTGTCGATCTATTTCTACTATTGACATTTGGTAGATGGGTATTGAAATTAACTTGTACGTTTAGTATGTCGTATTATATATTGTACACAACGACCACAATAGTTTTAGGATTGTATACAGTTGCTAGACATTGTGTTACAATGAACTGCTTTCCATTTGAAGCATAACATAAATAATATTATATTAATCGTTTTAGAGCGGTCAAATTGAATCATTATTATTATTTTGTTTACAAAAACGGTTTGCCCGGCGATTTCGGTGTAAATATCGTTATTCCGTTTCCGTGTATATGAAATTAAACTTCCAGAACGGTTTTGTAATTTGTTAATTACTAATATAAATAGGTATTACTCGTCAGAAAATGTCTATAGCGTCTGTAACGGCACGGTTCTTACGTTACCGTTTAATGCCGCACGTGGCACACAGTGCGTGCCCCGCCAACACCGGCGCGACTAAGCCAGTCGTTTCGAGAGCGCGACTTCTCCGTAGGTCACGCATAGAGAGCGCTGCACGCTAATACGTCTATCGCCACGCACTATTGTATGCGAATTACTATGGTACCGACAAGTCTGCTACTACGGCCGGATACGCAGACTCGTGCACATATACGAGCCGATTTGCATCGCATTTCTTTGGCTACCAGCCGACAAGTGGTGGTTATGCCCGACACATTAATCAGGTACGTAGCAGACTGGCGAAAAGCACAGTCCAGCCGGTGTTAGTATATAGTATATAGTTAGTATATAGTTAGTATATAGTTAGTATATAGTGACTGGCATTATTGAACCTATTTGACGATCCGTGGAGATCATTTCTGCAGCATACCTGTGACAGCACGTCTACTACCACCGCTATGCGCATTGTACGCACGAGTACGGGCTACGGCACCTTGCTTGTAAAGCGGTGTTATCCGTAAGCGACATGTACGTACAAACATGTTGTCCACGCCACTTTATTATACCTGCGTATTGTGATTGTGTTTTCGTTTGTATATTATTAAGAAATATAAACGTAATTCTTTTGGAAACCGAGTGTAGCCAGGGATCAATTGGTTTTAACTACGATGGTTTTTTTTTTTTTTCTGTCTAGTATGGTGACACGTTTTTTTCATAGTAAACTTACTCCGATTTTGACGCGTAACAACTTTTCTGAAAGCGCAAGTTATCCACATGATACTTCGCAGACGTCACTTTTTAAATAAAAGCACACTTTTAGGTGGGAAAAATCGTACGTAAACGTACAATTCCACGATTTATCAATTTTATAGTAACACGAACGACGTTTTCTACCAGAAAAAATGATTAAATCGAAAAATCAACAGGACACCTTTTTTTTTTTTTGTTGCCTTTTTGTTTTTTTTTCTTACGTGGTAAAATTTCCAAAATCGTCTGACGACTTTGTTTATTTTAATAAGCGGTTCTGAAATCAAATTCAAACGAAAGTCGCAAACTAAATTGCGGTATTTGAAATCGTGTATTACCGAACTGTGCTCAGAATCATCTTTCGTCAAACAATGGTTTTATCGTTGCTTACAGGTAATAATGAAATAAACTTATGTGTCCTACCTTCCCGGCTTCTCGCCTACAACAGTGGCCGCGCTCCCATATCCAGTATCGGTGATGTTTTTGATTTGATATTATTGTACGCTCCACGAGAGTAAATGTCATTATATGTAAATAATCGTTATACGTTTTAGGATACATAAATATAATTCGTGTAATACCAAGTAACATAAAAACACACAACCAGTTAATACCAATAATCAACGTGTTGTCTATTACGTGGTGTTGCACGTCTGAAATTCGCAACCAAATATACCATAATATGCCGGTACACAGTTTACGGCAATGTGACGGGAATTCCGAGAAAAGTAAACGCACTGCTGCTACATACACACAGTGTATCGTGTACGTAAATAATGATTACCTAATCTCATCACGTATTGTTCTCTTTTCCACTCGGTCTGGTGGCTCAGGAATGAAAGCCATAATGACTCCGTCCATTATTGTCTGGGTTGTTTATACTCGCGGTGGCTGTTATACGCACCCCTAGCGATATTAATTCAAAGACCAAAACCTTTTTAAAAAAGTACTTAGGGTGGATAATGAAAAATGCGGGTGACCGCAACATAAGCGCCGTCCCTTCACAGGGACATTATTTAATTAAAAAATTATCCGTTTTCGATTACGGTGAAACTTGATAAAACAAAATCGTAAAGCCATAAATATTTTTATAAACCGATTACGGAATATTTTTATAAATGTTATCTTATCTGTTAAAACAATAAATTTGTAACAGGATAAACACTATACTATATGAATTAACTCTAGTTAATAGTTTTTTTATTTTCTATACCTGTTCAATGTTAGATATTTTATTACGAAAATGTAAGTAAATTGAATTGAAAAAAAAAATAAAAAATAAATTAATGAATAACTGACAGAATTTAAAAATACAGTTATTATTTGTACTTCATTCGACTGTTCCGTGACACAGTAAAAATAATATCCTAAAAAAATAATTTGTGATGATAGGTTATGAAGGGGTGAGATTAAAATTACTACCGGGTTATGTAAGAAATGTATAAACTGGATTTTCAAGATGGTCACGATTTATTTGATCTGTTAGTGTATTTAACATTATAAGAGAAAAAAACTGTTACTAAAACCTACAAAATTTAATCTGTGATAAAAGACTATCAAAACAATGTTCAGTGATGTTGGCCTGTGTAAATATCATCGAAGGGAAAAATAATTTGTCTCCAACAGTCGTCACATTGACCTGAGGTTAGGTAGATTCGGTTTGTTTACTTTCCGGGAATACTGCCGGTTACTCCAACTGGTTTTAAATAATCTGTATTACAGTATAATTAATAAGAATATTTGTATGTCAAATTTGTATTTAAAACTCATTATATATCTATTCATAATAGAATAGGTACAAATATAGTATGGAATAATGGTGTAAAACACATATATTACATGGATAATAAATAACTATTATTAACGAATTTACGAATTTAAATTTAAAAGATTAGATATTTAATAAAACGATAAAATATAGACACCTATTTCTATTAATGTTTCTATTACATTTCATTTTTATACAATTTTTAATCAAATATTATTTGTCTCTATACTAAAAGTTTGCAAAAATGGAAATGCCCGATTTCCGTTTTATTGATCAATATACCAGTAAATCGCTTTTTAACAAAAATTATTTTAAAATCGAGAATCGTTTAGGGACATACAGATATAAATTTATAGGGATTTTTTTATTTGATAAGTGAATTTCTTAAGTTTTTTATACAAAGTGATTATAGTTCTTTTTGATCCCTCCTATATTACCTATGTTTTTGGTTTTATGACAGTTTTTGTATACTTGAAGAGTAAATAAGTATATTATGTAAGCCCGTGGTGTTTTTATCTATTTAGTTGATCTTATAAAGTATTATATAGTTAGGTACCTACTTTTGAAAAATACGTTCGCTTCTATATTGTTATTTTTTACATTTTTTTTTTCTTTTTCTTTACATCAGAAAAATCTATTTCGATTCTATGTCATGTATCAGCTTTATAAGTGTAATTTAAACTAAATCCACGAGACGTGTAAAATTCACGTGATTCTTCAAACCATTCAACCATAACAATATTAGGACGTAGCCTAAAAAGACGAAAATATAACACAATATTTTCAAACCAGTGTATATTATGTCTATACAGCAATTTTCACATATACATATACATATTCTCGCACATATTACATTAGTGCGAGAAAAGTTAATTTAGATTATCTATGTCGTATATTGTATTAACTATAGTACTATACAGTAAACATATAACTTAATCTAATGTGTTTTTATCAAGACTTTAATATTATTCTTGAGGAACTTTCTTTTTACAATACAAACTCTCGTTTTCATTTAGACCGAGATAAAATTTAATTAGAATTATTTTTGTGCGATTGTAAATTATAATTTGTTTAAAAGTCCGAAAGTATTAAAAAGCAGGCATTACCTATAGATTACATTACATTTTATTAACGCTAATTTATGGGTTAAGTTTTTATATACACATTTCGGATAATGTATAATTCGACTACAGGTACACGGCTCCACATGGATAATGTAAAAATCGACCTCTCTTACAGGAAAAATTGTGAGACTAACAGAACAACATGCCACTAACATTTATATTGATGATACGATAATTTCAATTTTATTTTTTATTTATTTCATTTTATTTTTGCTATTATTTTGTTTATTAATTGAATAAGTCGTATTTCTTACCACCGTGAGAAAAAAGCTTGGAAAAAAATTGGAATATTTAACTCGTCAAAAAGTGTTCAAAAAAACATAAGGTGACATTTTTCGGAAAAAGTATTAAAAATTTCCAAAATTGCTCAAATAATTTTCTATCAGACGAAAAATGTATATCTTTTAGCATGGCAAAATGGGAGCATTTTTAACTAACCGAAAAAATGTTCTGAGAAAAAACACAAAAACTAATAGCTTTTTCACTATACTCAGAATCTAAAACATATATCATAAGAGGGGCGTGGAAGATCCCTCAGATGGTTAGGTACAATTGTTTCCAAAAAATATTTAGATTCGATTATTATTAGGCTCGTATTATGTTATTAATCCGTTTTTAAAGTATAAGTAATTCTAGTATAATATTTTCGAAATAGTTTTTTAAACCTATATAATACCTATATTATATTTAATCTAAATTAACTATTATTAATCCTATTAAGTATAAAATTGCATAAACTGCAAAGAAGATTACAGAAGTGTGTATTACTCCGTATAAAACATATATGTTTTCCACGCTGGAAATTTGAAAATTATTTTAAAGAAAAATGATCGCTTAATGTTATATACTATAGTATTTGTATAGTATATAACACACACTACACAGTTTTTTATTATAAATGCATATTATACTTGTATACATGTATATATGCATTTTTTTTTTTTTGGATTTGGAGCGTATCTATTGGTTTTAAGATGATATGTGTTTTTTTTTGTTTAATGTCTGTGAACAACTTTTTATTATTACTATTAGGTATTCCAGAACTCACATTTCTTTTAGAATGAGCCACAGAATATTTTATTAAACGATGTCAAAAGTCTTAATATACTCTAGGGTCTAGGAAACAGTAAATAGCTGTAATTTTTATATTTTTATATTCATATCATATTTCTATTATCTGTCCGACTTTTATGAGTCTGTCTATTATTTCTTTCTCTGATACAAATATCAGTTTAGGAACCTTTAGGATAATCACAACTGTCTAAAGCTCTAAATTTTGAACAAAAATGAATGAAAATAGTCTGTTTTTAATATTGGATCAACTGATACAGAAAAATTTAAAATCAAATAAAATTACTTGAATATGAAAAACACGCGTATAAACTGACTAAAAATATAACATAATTTTATTTACAATCCATGATGTATTTCGCATGTGATACAGAGAATGCAGCTAAGAGATAAGGTTGGATGAACTCACCAATCCAGCAAAAATTGAATTACTCGACAACTTTCAAGTAACTAGGAATCTCAAACGCAGAAGACCATAATATGACTTGGTATCAGATTCTTAAACTAAGGCCGGGGCTACTCCACTGGGAATGAGACTCCTGACATGTTTATTTTTTTATTTTCTTTTTTGTATATTAATACACCACAAGTATTCATATACTTTGAAATGTAATGTTAAAGATCTTTGATCGGTGTGATAAAAGCTTTCGGGTGGTTAAAATTATATTGTAATGTGTTTTTATGTACCTACTGTAAAAACACGTTTCGTAAAACAAATAATTGGTGAATTATATATGAAATAATATTTGATTTTGTTTAACCAATATATTTACAATGTTCTTAATTTACGTGTTTAAATCTGGAATGTAATTAATTTTTTATTAATCTATTTACTCACGTACAATATCACTTTGCAAATATAAACACAAAATTATAATGGGGACTAGTTTTAGGAAAATTCCGGATTTGCCAATTTTTGATAGTCCGAATTTTAAAATCCGAAAATGTATTTACAATAGGGATTTTAGATTTTGAGCTTTGATTTTGGGTTCTTTTAGATATTTTTTGAATTAAAAACCAATCATATTTTAAAT